TTGTACCCATCCAAAAGAAGAAGAGGAAAATCAACAGATTTGGGATGTAGTTGGCCTGGAGTTGCATAACTGGGTCATGTAACCCCCCTGCTCTTCCCACTGTGGTTTCAGGAATGGGTTATGCCAATGGCATTCAATCTGTTGATTAATTGATTGGTTGAATTTATATTCTGCCCTTCCTCTCAAAGGAGCCTAAGCTAGCGAACAACAGTCAATAAAACTATTTTTAAAACAATTCTAATCTATTCAAACCATCTAGCACAGTGGATCTCAACCTGTGGGTCCCCAGATGCTGTTGGACTACAACTCCCATCATCCCTGAGCTCTGGCCTTGCTGGCTAGGGGTGATGGGAGTTGTAGTTCAACAACATCTGGGGACCCACAGGTTGAGAAAGGCTGACTAGCACAAGGATGATCTCTGGACCTTTGGTGGACCACAGTTCCCATTGTCCCTGATCCTTGGCCATGCTGGATGGGGTAGATGGGAGTTGGACTCCAACAACATCTGGAAGGGGGAGCCACAGGTTTCCCAGTTCTGATCTAGCAAGGCAGATCTGGGAGGCAGGACAGCACATCACACAATGACAGGACATCACACAATGTCCAGATTGACTTAGAAGCGGGAGAGAAACAAGTAGGATGGCAGGGGGAGAATCCAGGCTGAGAAAGCAGGGGTGAAATGCCCAGAATTCCTCTTGTTCTTTCTTTCTGATGATGCAATAAATCCATAATAATGAAGCTCCCCTTGAAGTTCTGGCTGTTCTGGGGATGCATAAAAATAAAAAGGCTCTTGCTGCTTTTGTTTATATCTCATCATCATCTGTCTCATTCTGGTTCTCCAGGGATACCCTTATGCTGATGGAATAGCTCCCTTTGTATATAGCTGCTTACCCAGCTCAAGCAGGGAGGGGCACAGCGCAGGAGTTCCTATGGGTTGAAGTTGGCTAGCTGGATAAGCAAGGAAAGAAGACTGAATTCAGCTTGCTGTGGGGCAGGAAGATACGTCTTGCTCTAGAGAAGTCTAGATTCAAACAAGTGTAGCATGGGGGCACCTGATTTCACCTTGAAATTCCAGGTGCATATGTAGATGGCCTTTCAGTCTGCTCCAGAATAGAGCATCATTTCCAGAAGTCTGAAGGCATGTCCACAATTTTTCCAAAGGCATCGAAAGTCCATTGGATGTGCTTTCGGAATGTGCACAGAAATGTGCATGAAATGTGCACAGACACAACCATACCATACATTTAAAGCACATTGGACCACTTTAACAATCCTGGCTTCCCCCAAAGAATCCCCCAAAGAATCCCCCAGAGCTACAGTTCCCAGCACTCTTACTTTTACTTACTTTTAAAGGTGTTCATCAGTACTGTACTGTTATGGCCAGCCACTGATGGCAGGTAAACAGTTTTCCACTGGGCATATGCACTGGGCATTTCCACTGGGCACTTACCATTGCTTTCAGGAAGCCAATAATAATAATAAAATACCCCATTCATCTGGCTGGATTTCCCCAGCCACTCTGGGTGGCTCACAACAGAAAATTAAAAGCACGATAAAACATCAAACATTAAATACTTCCCTAAACAGGATTGCCTTCAGATGTCTTCTAAAAGTCAGATAGTTGTTTATTTCCTTGACATCTGATGGAAGGGCATTCCATCAGGGCAGGTGCTACTGCCGAGAAGGCCCTCCTCTGCCTGGTTCCCTATAACCTCACTTCTCGTAGTGAGGGAACCGCCAGAAGGCCCTCGGAGCTGGACCTCAGTGTCCGGGCAGAACGATGGGGGTGGAGATACTCCTTCAGGTATACTGGGCCGAGGCCATTTAGGGTTTTAAAGGTCAGCACCAACCCTTTGAATTGTGCTCAGAAACGTACTGGGAGCCAATGTAGGTCTTTCAGGACTGGTGTTATTTGGTCTCAGCAGCCACTCCCAGTCACCAGTCTAGCTGAAGTTCGAAAACACTGGGTTCGGAATATGAATTGATTCAGCTAGATAAATTTGTGCAAATGGAGAAATGCATTTCCAGATGAGCTCCTCTGCTCCTGAAAACATTTGTCTGCTCTTCACTTTAATTGTGTGACTATTCTGCACCTGCACAGATTTGCATTCTCAGCACCCAGAACATACGCAATGAGAGGCTGCTGGATCAGGCCAGTGGCCCTTCTAGACCAGCATCCTGTTCTCACAGTGGCCAACCAGATGCTTGGGAGAAACCTGCAAGCAGGACACAAGCACAAGGGCACTCTCCCCTTCCAGTGGTTTCCACCAGCTGGAACTCAGACGCGGTACTGCTTCCAACCATAGCAGGAAAGAGCTGCTGTGCTGGTGTTTGGTTGGCATGTGCTTGCTGATGGTTGAAGCTAACTTGAACTTTTAGAAGTGGGTGTGTAAGTTTCCCATTTGACCATGGCGCCTTGGTCTTCAACTTGGCTTGGAGTTTCCGCATTAGAAAAACACTCATATCCTCCAAGTGGAAGGTATGTCCCATGTAAGCGTGACCTTTTAGAAAAGCGAATCACAAGCCAAGATGCTTGAGGATTTCAGACCTCATTTTTCAGCAAAGTGCAAATGCCGTATAACCTTTCTGCAAATGGTATGAAAACGGAATCAGGAGGATTGCTCAAGATACGCTTCATGTGGAAGCAACCCAAAACACCTGGTGGCAATAAAACATTGGACAGAAGTGAAAACAGATTCAAATCTCGGGGGGGGGGGGAATGGAATGAGAATATCTTTTTCTAGGCACTAAAATCACCTTAAAGTAGGTGCCAGACAAACCTCACTGGGCAGAGCATTCAAGAACTGGTGTGCCACCATTGAAAGGGCTTTTGTTCCCAGTGACCACATGCTGTTACCTTATCTAGCTGGGGCTCTTAGAAAATGGTCTGCAATATAGATCTTCTGCGGTAGTGGACAGTGTGGTGGGACAATGGCGTTTCCCTCACCTCCAGACAGCTGAGTAACTGCTCCCAACCAAGAAGCAGAGGGAGAGGGACAAAGCAGTGGGAAGGTCAGTCCAAATGCACCAGCAGGAGTGCCAGATTTGCTCCACCGGCTTGTCTGCACAGCAATGACCTCCCCATTACCTCTCTCCCCCCTTCCCTGTAAGGATCAGTGACTCAATTGTCTGGAGGTCAGGTGAGTGCATTTGCCTCACCACTCTGCCTGCTACTGATCTGAATAGGTACTTGTAAAGAAAAGCAGTCCTTTGGGTCAGCCTGGCCCTGTGCGTCCGAACCGGTCGCTCTACCCTAAAAATGACATCCACCCACTGAAATGGACAAGAATGACTAAGTTAGGTCTGTTAATTGCAGTGGGTCTGACTCAAGCAAAGTTGAATACCACCCATACTAAATAAAATCAGTACCCCGGTCTCAACCCATGGAGGACTTTCAAAGTGAGAACTAATAAATTGAATTGAACCCCCAAACAGGCAAGGAACGGGGAAAGCCATAGCATGCTGGCATCACATGACTGCACCTCTGCAACTCGATCTGCTCTAAGGTTACCCAAGAGTTAATCTTGTGCGCTTTTGTCCCTGCGGAGCCTGCCCAAGTCTGATGGAGACTCTTGTTCAATTAAGAGCTCGACAGTGAACCCGGAGGTAAAGGCCACCAAATGTATTGCTGTCAGCTTGCAGCATTCAATCTGACCTACATTCTAATCACTGACCTAGAGGTGGGAGACACCAGAGCCCATTACTTGTTCCCCTGGGGCATCCTATTCCCAACCCCCCAACCCCCTTTATTTTCCGAAATGGCAGCCAAGGCCATTGAGGCTCCTGGTTAATTCACTGCTCGGGGACAAAATGTGTGTATCCCTTTTCCTGCTCTATAGGAATGGAAAATAAGGTGGAGGTGGGGGAAGACGAAGACAATTAATGATTGGATTTGCCCCAGGGGTTCCTCCAGTGGAGATGGAATCTCTTGTGTGGCAGAATTAGAGCAAACACCAGGCAGGCAGGTGGCCTTTGGTTAACCCTGTGTGGTTGCTTCCCCCCCCCCCATCAGAGTCACTTAATTATGCTGTCCGAAACAAAAACCAGCAGGAGATTCTGCTGAAGCGTTCCAAGAAAATAAGTGGGGAATGATCCCCTTCGAAAGTGGTCAGAAACCCCTCCATTTCACCTTCTCTCTCTCTCTCTTTTTTAAGCCAGGTGCGAGGAGGGGGGAAATGAAAATATAGATGTGTGCAGGTTTGTGTCACTGGTGGAGAAATGGCAGGCAGATCAGGTGTTCAGTCAAGCAGGCAAGAAAGTGTCAAATGCCAGGGGACGCACATGAGATGGAGGACAATTCAGTCCAGAAACAAGCCTTGCCTGTTAATACAGACACCTTTCTCCTTCTTGTGAGTTTCATGAGACCAGGGGTGTGTTCATACCATCTATTTAAAGCACATTAGTTCTCCCAAGCAACCTGGGAGCTGTAGATTACCCCTCAAAGAGCTGCAGTTCCCAGCACCCTTAAACTACAGTTCTCAGGATTCTTGGGCGGATGTTGTGTGCTTTAAATGTATAGTTGTGTATGCAGACTAGGGTTTGTGTGTATTTGAAACCTCGGCTCTCAGAGTCTTCCTCAATCCTGATTAGGCTACAAGTATCAGAAAAGAGGCTGGATGATCATTCATTAGGGATGCTATCTGTTGTTGTTTAGTCGTTTAGTCGTGTCCGACTCTTTGTGACCCCATGGACCAGAGCACGCCAGGCACTTCTGTCTTCCACTGCCTCCCGCTATAGGGATGCTATCTAAAAGAGAGTTAAAGAAGCTCTTGAGGATTGTATGTGTGTGCCAGCAATGACGCCTTAGTTTTGTGAGGGCCAGGTCCATTTAAAAAATCCATCTGTCCATTTTTATTTTTGCATTTCAAAATGGGCAATTGCATGTTGCTGCATTTGTGTTTTTCATATATATACTTTGTAGGAACCATATTGTAGGATTGCCATAGGTCTGGAATTTCCTGGACATGCCTGGGATTTCAACAGTGAAATTAGCGTCCGGGATGGGCGGTAGAGGTGAGGATTTCAAAAAATTGGCAAAATGTCCAGGTTTTTGCAAACAGAACAAGGAAGTGTGTGTGTGTGTGTGTGTGTGTGTGTGTGTGTGTTGTTTGGGAATTCACCCAGAAAAGCTCAACAACTTTTTGGGCGATTTACCCTCCGAAAAGGTCAACAACTTACATTTCCAGATTTTTACTTCTTGAAATATGGCAACCCTGCCTTATTGGTATCAATGTATGAAAGTCCCCTCTCCCCACTACTTTATAAACTAAAGGATTTGTGCTCATAGCAGGCAGGACCTAGCAGGCAAGGGAATCTGAATCCAGGGCCACTCAGCCCTGGGGAGAATTTGAGTGACTGAGTCATCAACGCATCCAATGGCTGGATGGCTGTTGCCAGATCAGAAGATGGAGAGGTGCTGTCTCTCTCTCCTGCTCCTTATCTCCCCAGCTCTAGGCTGGCAATGCATAGGGTCCTAGCATGTGCCCACCCAACCATCAATGGGCCAACTTAAGATCCTTGGGCAGCCCTGCTCCTCCCATATTCTGCTCCCAAAGTATACCATTTGGGGGTCTTGTTCCAGCTACCACTGGTAGGAACACAATCAGTAGCAGCTCCCCAACAGCCTATGCCTTTTGGTGGGCACAAGAGAGGCTTTCATAGCATGGAGCCCACCACAAGCAGATCCACGAAGAGGGACACCTCTGCCCATTCCAAACCTCAGAACTGTCCCAGGAAAATGGGGGGCACATCCCATTTTTCCTCATGAGAGCATGGCAGCCAGTTTTTTGGGGGGGCCCTGCGATTTCACACAGTGTCCCAAAATGTGTGTTTCTTGGGCACCATGCCCCCAAAAAGCACTTTTGGGAGACGGTGATCTCAGGCAGGTCACGTGACTCATACAGAAGTGCAGCCCTGGAAGGTGGCATCTCAGTTTCCCATAATGTCACATTGGAGGGTATGCCATTCCCTATCACCGCCACCTCCATTTGAGGGTTAGGATTGCTTCCCTTTGTTCTTCACAACAGGTAGGTTGTAGAAAGTTTTGACCTGGGATAGATATGAAGCAGCTTTTTGCCAGGTCAGAGCAACTATTCATTTAGTCCACTACTCTGACTTGCAGCAGTTCTCTGGAATTTCGGGCAGAGGCCTTTCTCATCACCTCTCTGATCCACTTAACCGGAGATAATTTCCTGCATGTAAAGCATTAGTGCTACTGTTGAGCTGTGACGCTTTCCCAACAGCAATAAAGCAATAATGTTTTTTTCAACAAAGAACAATGCTTATTGCCACAGGCACAGGCCAAAGGGAAAGTGCCCAAATATTGAAGCCAACGGCTCGTTCTCTTGATTTATGGATTTATCGATTGAAAATGTATAAATCACCCTTCATCGCAAAATGGATTTCGGGGCAGCAGTATACCGAGAAGTTTAAAATTACAAAAACATTGCAAACCCAGACCAACAATGCAGTTGTGTTAAGAGGAATGAAACCATCCGAGCGGCTCAAAATAGCATAATCTAAAATGCCTGGGAAAAGAAAGAAAGTCTTAACCTGGTGCCAAGAAAAATACAGAGTAGGTTCCAAATGTATCTCCCTTGGAAGGTCATTCTGTAGTTGGGGCAACCACAGAGAAGCCAAAGATTTCAATCTTTTACTGCCATTTACTGAATAATGTTCCTTTCTTTATAGCCTCCCCAGATAGTGCAATCCTATGCATGTTTACTCATAACTCATAAGTTCCATAGAGTTCAGTGGAACTAAGGCTGTCTTACCTCACTTACCTGGGAGATAGGGCTGTTCATAGATGGTTGCTATTTTTGCGTGGGATTCAGCCCATATTGGAAAATTCAGGTTGCACAGTTATAGTTGATGAGAAGTTCTTGCACAGCCGTTCCCCAAAATACCGGACTCATCTGCAATAAGGAAAGTAAAGGGGAGATACACTTGCTTTGATGCAACATCATTTAGCCTACCTGCAAACAACAACAACCCAAATTAATGGTCATTGTGTAGCTGATGTAATCTGATATCCCTGCAAACAAATCAGGATGAATGCTCAAAAAATAGCCCATATGTTTAGGATTGCAGCCTTACTCCCTGGTTCATGTAGGGTTGCCATATTTCAAAAAGTGCCATTTTTGAGCTATTTTTTAAAAATGGCAAAAATGACACTGCCAATACGGCTTGCCATACGTCCAGATTTCCCCATATATTTTGCCGGTTTCCTCCAGGGCACTGCTTCCAGCTACAGCATTCCGAATATGTCTGGACACATGGCAACCCTAGTTAATGTGAACAGGACTGCAGCTTAAAACTCTTGCCAATTGTGTAATTTCCTGTGTCGCTCTTCTCTTTTCCATGTCGATTTTAATACACTTCTAATTTCATCACTCTCTCTCTTTTTGAAGAAAAATACATTCAATCATTTGTAGGACAAAGCAAATGGAGATGCATTTCACATTGCTATACATTTCTTCTCACTTTTAAATGGCATCGATTTAAATGCAGATTTCGTGCGTGGAGCTTGGAAGCAGGGGCTTTCAATTTAAATGTTAATAGAAGAGTAAACTTGAAAATAATAATAAAAAAGATCTTTGTGAGAAAGATCACTTCCTTGCTGTAGTTAATATATTTCTATGCTGGCCCTTCTTTCCTTGTACTCCCACTGGCAACCGGCCCTGTATTAAATGGTCTTCACACGCACACACAAATTAAAATAAGAATGTACGGTATCTTTGGAAATGCCTAAATTAAAGTGTTTAATGCCAGAGTTTGCAGGAGGCCCGAGCAGAGACCTGAGGGGCTGATAACACAGAGATCTCATCCTTCAATCTCTAGCTTGTTCCTTAACAGCCCATTCATCAAAAATAGCTGTTCCTAAAGCTCTATATGATTATTTTGAGGTTGATGCAGCATAATGTTCTGGTAGGAGGGAGATAAGAGAATATTTGCTCACACAGGCTTGCCGAACCTTCCCTTGCTTAAAGGCAACTCCACAGTGCAGGCCCTACCATTAGGCAGAGGGAGGTGGCTGCCTTGGAGGCAAATCCCGAGGGGGCTTGCAGTGGCAGCAAGATGTTGGAAGACAGAGCTTCCGCCCTGTGTCACCCCTGGCTAGCCTCAGGTATAATAGAGGATGCCATCCCATCAGCTGTGCCAAAGTAAGACCCATCTGCTAGTCCAGTCTGCTTCTGTACATCATATGGTGAGGAAGGTGCAATCTTGGCCTTGGCCTCAGGCAGCAAAATGTCTTGGGCTGTTTCTGGCAAGCAGAGAGGTTTAAGTGGGTATAGATGTAGGGCAAAGTGAGGGAAGAATGTGAATTGAGATCTACGGATCGATCACTAGCTCATGGCTGACCAATGTGGCACCCATGGGGGCCAGTGTGCCCACCAATACCTCCTACGGTGCCCAGGAATGGTCTCAGTAGGCATATCTTCAAAAATCTTCAGTGCATAAAAGACTGTTTGCTCCTCCTGCTCAGTTTCTGTTTGAGAGGTGCCCAAGCAATTTTATGGCCTTATCCCTTTTTCTACTCTTTTAAACTTGGAAGCCATTATGCCACACCCCATGGCAGCCATGTTGTATTATGCCACGCACAATATGGTGGCCATTTTGTGTTAGGGAACAGGCTCCCCCTGGCTACCATTTTGTGGCTGGTGCCTACCATGCTCACTCATACTTCCAAATGTACCGACTAGCTGAATTGGGCAGAATGAGATGATTTATAGTAGGCTGGCAAGGATTTCCAGCTCCCACCTGTCCTCAGGCAGAGTGCTCTCTCACATTGGCTGCTATCTGATTTGTAATCTGGATACACTAGGACAGCGGCGTAGCGTGGGTTGTCAGCACCCGGGGCAAGGCAAGTAATTTGCGCCCCCTAACCCGGGGCAAGGCAAGTAATTTGCGCCCCCTAACCCCTAACCTGCCGCCGCTGCCAGCTTATTCTTGCTGCTGCCTGGTCTGGTCTGGTGTGGTTCTCTCCCGCGCTCAGTGCTGCGCTGGGCGGCCGCTGCTCTGTCCCTCCCCCAGATAGTCCCTCGCTCTCTCTCCGCACCGCACGCCTGGCACCCACCCCCTCCACAGTGGGCGGCGACCCAGCGGCTCGGATCGGATTCGCAGCCAGCACTGCAGTGAGAGAGAGAGAGTGAGCCAGGTAGGGGCAGAGAGCTGCGAGTGCGAGCGCGCCCCCCCAGACGTTGCGCCCGGTGCGGCCGGCCCCCCCTGCACCCCCCACACTACGCCACTGCACTAGGATACATCTGCTTGTAAAGGATGTGCTCTTCTGATGCACCAATGTGGGGAGCTGCCCCTGAGGAGCTCCAAAGTGGGTAGAAGACTAGCTATGCATTTGGACAACTCTCAAGATACCATAACTGCATTCTACACAGTGGTTTGTGAGATCAAGGTTTACATCTATGGTTGGATACAACTCGATGCCATTTTGAATTAAGATGGCGGACTGGACTTTTCAAAACTGCACTGATTTTAAGCACTGATTTCAAAACTGCACCGATGTTTTGGTTCTTAGAATTCCCTAGGAACGCCAGGCAGGAGGCAGGTGTTATTTCTTGACTTTATTTCATTTGGTCTGGAGTCTATGGCAACAGCTCATCAAGGAGCCAAGGGACTCAGATGTCTGGGAAACCCTGGATTAAATTATGAGGGGAGCAGAAGCCACAGGTTAGTGATGGAGGGGAGACCTTCAAACAGCTAAGGGGAGCTGCTCTAACTCTGCATCCTAATGGGGCGTCTCCTTGTTTTCCTTGCCCCAGTCACCACTCGAACTGCTGTGTTCAGCTGGAAAGAGGAAGTGCTGAATAAACTTTATTGGGACTTCTTGGCTGAGAGACCCACGGGATTTCTCCAAGTCCTGCGATGCCATGTTAGCAGAGAAGGCACACTTCTTTTCTAGTCTGACCTCCTTCTTCCTAAATAGCTGTAGGGTGCTGATTCAGCGCTGCACTGCTGTACATACACATTCATTTCCCATTGGAGGAATTGCTCTGAATAGACTCATCCTCAGTGCTGACATTTCTGAGCGGGCTGTTATGACATGGGAGGAAGGCTGGCCAGATTGCATCCGACAAGTAAGAGCAATTCAGACAACCAGCTCACAACCCCTCTTTCACACCACTGCCATTTGCAAGCACTGCCCTCGGCAGCGGCTATGTCAGGCCAGGAAATGGCAACAAACAGAAATATTCTCTTTCTGGCATGTCTGATCATTAATTTGTTTATTTAAAATGAATACTCATAAATAAAGCATTTGGCATAGGGAGGCAATATGTTGTTACTTGCCACCCCCACCCCCAATCTTTTTGTAAATGGAGCAATAAATACCTCTTAAGACCTGTCGAAAGATGGATAGCCTATAATAGCCAGATGATGTGTCTCACTGGGAGCTGAGATGATCCAAGAAGTCTTACAAGAAGACTTGGTTTTTCTTTTGAGCAATTGTCAATCAAATTGTTGTTGTTGTTGTTTTAAAAACTGGCTTTTATACATTTTAGTTGCTTTTCAGTTGTCATGTATTTTATTTCCTGTTGTTCAGAGGGCATTTTGTTTAGCAGCTTACTATATTTTACAATGTGAAATTTCCCTTGTGATTTGGTAGGAGATTTTTATGTGTGGTGTTTTATTTTGATGTTAAGAAGGATGCTCTGTTTATTTATTTTATTATTTTTATTTATTGAATTTATATACCGCCCTATGCCCCAAGGTCTCAGGGCGGTTCACATTTTAGTTGTTTATTGCATTTTATAGGATATCGAAATTATCCGGGGGGGGGGGGGTTGTTGCTCATGGCATATGCCTTTTATTCAAGATGCGGCAACCTATGTTGCAAACTATTTAGAGATTTGTTTAAATACAATAGGTGGAAATTACTCATTCTCCCCAATACACACACACACACACACGGCAGGGGGCAAGTGAGGTCTGTCTGGAAGCAGCAACCACAAGAACAAGCCTTTAGCTTCTTAGGGTGGGACTGAAAGCATCAGACACAGAGAGCTCCCTGCAACAATCTGAAGACGTCCTCATTCCACCCTAAAAATCTGATAGGGAAGCAGCATGTGTTGGAGTGGCTTTAAGAGGCAAAACCTCCACCTATGCTCAACATGTGAGTAAATCATATATCGCAAAGTTCCAGCCAGTTTCCAGTATCCTCCATTGCAAAGGAAATGTGTACATTCTACACTCCTGGAATTTTCACTGCTCGAAGACTTGGGGTATATGAGCAAGCAATGATAGTGATAAAGTCATTTTCATGTGGTCAGTTATCTCTCTCAAATGGTTTTCTTTTGCAGAAGTAATCAACTTTTGTCTGTGGTGCTAAATAAGAAATACCCTCCTCATTCCCCCCCCCCTTCCTGTATGCAAAAGAGCTCTGTCTAACTTGAAAAGAAGAGATTTTGCATCTCTCCTTCTTTAAAACCAACCAAACAACCGATCTCTATGCAAAACTGTACGGCGGTGGATTGGGGGCCACTTGACTTTTGTATGTTGCAGCTGCTCAGAGCGAGACTGGGATCTTTAGTTCCCTTAACAGCAATGAGACAAACCATGAGCGCTATTAACAAGATGTCTCTTTTTCATGTTGCAGACTTGCGCAGAATGACAGCAGGCTTCATGGGCATGGCTGTGGCCATCATCCTCTTCGGATGGATTATCGGGGTGCTGGGCTGCTGCTGGGATCGAGGCCTTATGCAGTATGTGGCAGGACTTCTCTTCCTCATGGGAGGTAAGGGGGAAAGAGGTTGCCATCAAATGCCATTTTGCTTCTCCATGTCTCCATTTTGTAGGAGCCGCTTCCTTTCAAAGTACCAGGGGGACTGTGTCCCAGTTCTGCCATTGCATTAATGCCAATCAGCAGCAACTTGTTAAAAATCTGGTACCACAAGCAATTCCTGAATTTATATGGCACTTTTCCTAAGGGCTCGATTCACCTGCATTATGTCAGTAATCCTGACAAGGTCGTCTGAAGCAGGGCTAGGTAGACTTCAATCCTGTGGGATCCATGTTATGGTTGTTGTTTACAAGATCCATCAACCACAGGCAGTTGCAATATAGTGACTCAGATGTTTGGGGTAAGGGTGCGGGCATGCCAGAATTAAGGAACAAGACACCTCTGGGCATATCCTCTATACAGGAGTTTGTAGGATGAGGGCTAACTCAGTACACCCCAAATCCACACCTTATTTTCCTCTTGTTAACGGGGGTATCTAAGGGCGCCCTTGGACAAAAAACAAGGACACCAGCCAGGAATACCAGAGCAAAACAGCAGCCAGTGGACTTGGTCTTTATTGAAGACTGTCGCGACAGGACTCCCACCTGCCACAAGGTGGGACAAGATGGAAGCCCCGAACAAAAGAGCCCCCAAACTTTTATTAGCTGCTAATCCCCATGTTACACCCCCCAAACTACATCACGGTTACATCACAGTTGCATCATGAAAGGGGAGGTCTGGTGGCAGTAATCTGAGCATCCTGGACCCTGCCCCATGGTTCTCCTTGCCCTCCACCAAACACCCATCAAGTGTAACAAAAGAGATATTTACATTTCCCTGTTTCCCAGCCAAGTTAATCACACCCTTTGTCTTCATCTGGGTTTGTTATTTCTGGAATGGCTACCTGTCTGACACTCAGGTATCAGGATGCCAGGAATTATCACTCAGGCACAGGGGCTGCTGAGTAGCTGAGCTCACATGTCCATATGAATTTCTGAAGTTTTCCCAGTGAGCCAGTACATAGATACATTTATCAGCGAATTGTTACATTTGGTATCGTGCAGCAAAGGCCCTGTGAATATATAGGAAGAAACTGTGATGGGGTGTTTTGTGGGGACAAATCACAAAAGTCACAAAAGCGATTGTGCTGGTTTTGGTGGTGAATGCTCGTAAGTTTCCTTCCTGCCACCAGTCTGATTTGGAAAACAAATAAAGCTTTATCTTGACAGTATTGCTAAACAACTGGGATTCAGAGACCTTTTTCAGTCTACTACAAGTTACTTAAAGCGCTACCAGTCAAGTCTCTGTGTGTCTCCTTCTCTCCCCCTCTTCTGCTCCTGGCCACATGTTTAAAACCCAAATTCAACACCCAAATTCAGTTTGGGGCCTAGATCCAGGTTAAGCTGGCCCTGGCTCATCCTTGGTTAAATCAGGGCTGTTGCAAATTGCCATCTTGGGCTTCAGATAGAATCCAGTTGGGCATGCCATACACTGGATTCTACTCAGTATGTTTGTATTATCATCTCCATGTGACAGATGGGCGGGTGGGGTTGTGACTTAGAGATGAAGGCTTTAGATTTAAACAAGGGCATGTTGACATTATGTTGAAATGGATTTTTTTTTTGTTTTTTTAAAATCCTTTAAGGAAGAGGATGCACTTCTGTTTAGCACCCTCACAAAACTACCATTTCCTTGACTGTTCAAGAAAAGCCACGACAAACTGATTTAAAACTGGTTTAAGTTGGTTGGTTTCAATGGAACACAGTCTCACGTAAGCCTATAGGATGGCAGTCTAAATCATCTATAACTGAACTAGGTTGAAACGAGACATTTTGAGGAGGGGGGGTTGTCTGTGTGTTTTAAATAAAATGGGCTGTCATTCATTTTTTGGTGTTGTGAAACAAGCTGGCGTGCCACAAAAAGGTATTGTGAGAAACGAGGTCTTCAAAACATGAATGTCGTGAAAGAAAGTTGAAAGTGATCCTTCCTTTGTAGCTCTGAGTAGTTTTATAATAAGACCAAATTTAAGCTGCACTTTTATGTTTAAACAACGGCCGGCAACTAGATAAAGATCTTTTAATCGATTAACTGTCTGGCATTTTACTGCTTAATCAACTAATCACATATTGCTGTGCCGCAGTAATCATGCTTTTTCTGAGGATCTTGACTGAAGGTGACAGTTTCTTATTGGGACTTGTCTTGAAGCAAACAATCTTCTCCTCATTGCTAATCTTTATTTTCTTAACTTGTGAAACAGGGAGTGCTGTGTTTCTCTAAGATGTCTTAAAGAAACAAGTAAAAGTGACAGTGCTATAATTCTTTCCCCCCAACTATCGTAAGTTGCCCAATGAGATTTTTAAACCCACCAGTCCAAAGATGCACACGACACCTTGTTCACAATTATCAATAGTGCTTTTTCACTGCCGTAGTACCTCTGCAGAAACATTTGGCAGGGAATAGAATCCACAAAGGTTTCTTGGTCTGAACAAAATTACTTTTTGGAGAACCAAAGGGAGCTTGCTCCAAAGTGCAGTAATTTAAATAACCGGTATTCTTTTTAATTCTTGTATTAAAGCTTGCAGTCCTGATTGGGCAGTTTTGACACTTCATTTGCATAAATAGCTAATGAGGAGTGAACTCTTCTTAGCTTATCTCAGTTTCTGCAAGCTTTCCTTGTGAGTGCTCAGAAAAACCCTGTGAAGTCTTTTTAAAGTATTCATAAGGAGAATTAGGGAGAAAAGAGGATGAATGTCCCATCCACCACTTCTCCTTCTTTCCCAAGCTCAAAACTCTTACCCTTGAGACAAAGGGGGGGGGTCAGTGAATGGTGGCAGAGAGGGCTCATTGGGGACATGATAGCTCTTACTGTCATTTCATGCTGGGGAGCATGGGATCTGTTGTTCCTTCTGCCTCCTGAACTGAATTAGAAGCCAGAGGAAACTACAAATCCCATTCTCCCCAGAAGGTAATAATGCACCTATAATTTCCAGATTAGGAAAGGTCTGATTTCTAGTTTAGAAGAATGGGTAGGTAGTACTAGGGGTAGGGATGGGGGAGAATTTTTATTCAGTTTGCAGTTAAAGGCAAACCTAGCTAATCTGCAGGGACGCGGGTGGTGCTGTGGGTTAAACCACAGAGCCTAGGACTTGCCGATCAGAAGGTCTGCGGTTCGAATCCCCGTGACGGGGTGAGCTCCCGTTGCTCAGTCCCTGCTCCTGCCAAACTAGCAGCTTGAAAGCACATCAAAGTGCAAGCAGATAAATAGGTACTGCTCCAGCGGGAAGGTAAACGGCGTTTCCGTGCACTGCTCTGGTTCGCCAGAAGCGGCTTAGTCATGCTGGCCACATGATCTGGAAGTTGTACACTGGCTCCCTCGGCCAATAAAGCGAGATGAGCGCCGCAACCCCAGAGTCGGTCACGACTGGACCTAATGGTCAGGGGTCCCTTTACCTTTACCTTTACCTTTACCTAATCTGCACTTTATGAAACAAAGAGAGTGTAAGCGAAGATTTCAAAATTTGCACTCTCTGAATTTTGCAATTCTGTTATCCAGCCAAGCAATGTGTACAAGAACACACGTGCCAAGGTAAACATATAAAGATGCAGTACATTTGCGCATTGGGCAAAATTGCATACAAACAAGGATAAAGTCACACTGATGAATTTCATGAAGATAAATAATAAGTTTTCATTAATTATTTTTTTAAAAAAATTGCAAACTGCTATGGAAATGAATTTAAGGCGGGGGGGGGTGAGAAAATGAAATTGGCAGATTAGCCCATTCCCTAAATAGGAGTTGATTTCACTGTGAACTTGATCTAAATGCAAAGGGATCTAGACCCAATTTGCAGGGGGTGGGGTGGGGTTGAGGCTTTTTAAATGAGGGAAATTTGCGTTCTGAACTCCTCCAATTCAAACTTTCCCCTCATCAGTATGAAAAGTTGCACACGCAAGCTGTGCACTTCAGCGAGCATCGTTTCCTGCTTGCCCTGACCCCATGAGCAGTCAGGATGTGGCCCTGGTAGCAGAATCCAGCTTCGTGAGAATCTAAGCTTCTATTCTTAATATTAATTTTATAAGCAGGCTTCCGGCTCCTGCGGTTGCCAAGATATGCTTGAAAATGTGTGGGCAACGCCTGGCAAAATCTCAGGCTCCGCAGGCACGACTGTGCAAAATTTCTCGTGCTTGAAGTTGGAGATAGGGCTTTGGTGCTTTGTATAGTTTCTTACCCGCCTTGACGAGTAGGAAAGGAACAGAATAAATGGCATAAAATAGAAGGGGGGGAAGTGGACTGGATTATGCAAATTGGCTCAAGTTGAATAATGCTCAAGCCACAATATTCAGCTGTGACTGATTCTTTGTACAGAATCTGGATTATGCATCTCTTTCTATATATATATGAGCAGACACAGTCCTGAGAGAGATCTCAGATGAGTATCAGCATACACCCACAAGAAGGAACTTCCACCTTGATCGTGGATGCTGCTGCTGCATTTCTGGAAGTAATGCTCTCCTCTGGTTCCTTGAGCATGTTTCCTTGCTCGCATGAGCAAACTGCTAACCTGAGCATTTATTCGTACAAATGGGGCAGCAAACAGGCCACCAGAACTATTTCGCAGCTTGATCACTCTTGTCCTCTTTGTGCTTTGTAAACTATTTGCTCAGACTCTGCCTTCTTTACTGCTGATTTGCACAACTTGCTTGGGAAGCACTGCTGTGAGTGTGTGAGTGTGATGCCAAGGTTGCAGGTTCAATCCCCATATGGGGCAGCTGCATATTCCTGGATTGCAGGGGGTTGGACTAGATCATAGGTAGGCAAACTAAGGCCCAGGGGCTGGATCCAGCCCAATCGCCTTCTAAATCCGGCCCGTGGACGGTCCGGGAATCAGCGTGTTTTTACATGAGTAGAATGTGTCCTTCTATTTAAAATGCATCTCTGGGTTATTTGTGGGGCATAGGAATTCATTCATATATTTTTTCCAAAATATAGCCCGGCCCCCCACAAGGTCTGAGGGACAGTGGACTGGCCCCCTGTTGAAAAAGTTTGCTGACCCCTGGACTAGATGATCCTCAGGGTCCATTCAAACTCTACAATTCTATGATTCCACTATGAAATCTAAATAAAGAAATGTGGAACCCAATCTCGCCCAGAGATCTTCATAAACTATGCAGCCCCTTAGTTTGAAAGGCAACTCTGGAAATTGTCTCCTGTTGCAGAACTGTCACTAACCTCTGACACCAACTTTTATTTTCACCACCTCTCAGTTCACTCTAACTCTAGAGCCCGAAGCGCAGGGGTCAAATAATGATTTAAAAAATAATGCCAAACCAGGCAATAACTGAGACATCTCTATTGCAGCTATTAATATTGTGCAGCTTGAAGCAATTGGTTGCATGGAAAACTGACTCCTTTTGGAAATAGAAATTGACCAGACCCATAATTATGATTCAAAGCTTTACTAACCAGAACTTCGTCTCACACAACAGGTACAAAACAATCAATGATACATCCAGAAAGTTGTGGAAAACATATGCATATTCAAGCATAGGTTCTTCTTCTTAAATATGTAACATAATTACGATCAGAGCAATAAAAAATAAAAAATAAAAACTCTGTATCTCCCATAGCCTGCCTTCCAGATTAAGGCTATTTGCTCCTGGACAGGCATCCATATCACATCCTTTGTTTTCTTCTGCTTCCAGAGAAAGACTCAAAGGCAACTCCCTTCAGGATGGAGATTTGCAATGGAATTCCCTCATGTGATCTAAAGTTAAACACCACATGAGAGCTGGCAGACAACACCAACAGTTAACTATCAACCTGTTAGAGCTCAGAGAGGGCTTCAGTATAGCCCAATTGAATTTTCCAGTGTTAAACCTTCAGCAATACATATGCAGGCATTCTCCAGTTCAGTATGCAATTAAACAATAGTACTTAACAATCTCCAGTTCGCAAGTATCATCACAGTCTCTCATGTAAAAAGACAAATGTTTATAGGAAGTAAACACTGGAATCAGACGAGGGGCTTGATGGGGAAAGTGGATCCTGTAATCAGGCATGACCTTGTGGGCCTGGCCACACCTCTAGGCTCAGAGTTTTGATATTTGAGACATGGCATGCCCAACACACAGGAATGCAGGAAGTGGCCTTATACTATTGACTGCACTGACTGATACCACTTCTCCAGAGTTTCAGGCAGGAGTCACTCCCAACCCTACCTAGAGATGCTGGGAATTGAACCTGGGACCTTTTGCATGCAAAGCAGATGCTCTACCATTGAGCTACAGCACTTCCATATGCAGAAAGATGGGCCATTGGTACATTTCAACAACCCAAGATGAGCCAGGAAGTAAGAATTGGGAGAGTTTCCCCTTAGTGAGAGTTACATAGGTTGCTCTGTAATGGGGGAGTTGGACCATTGTGCCAACTACATAATATGTTTAAGACTTCAGTGATGTATTTGATTTAGAACTTGTGATGGGGGGGGGACTCTAGCACTACACCAAGATCAATAAGAACACAAGTCAAATGAATTAGAAATTGAGCAAATGGTAGGTTCCCAAACGTAACTGTTAACAGGGAAATTATCATTAAATGGAAATGTTGCGCAGACATCAATTCTTGACCCAGCGCTATTCAATATCCTTGCCAGCCATCTGGAAGAAAATAGAAAATCATTGCAGATAATAAACACAGGGAGTGGTGGGATGGCAAAGAATGACAACAATGTCAATTCTACAAAATGAAGTGAGTTGTTAAGTGAGCTTCTCAAATTCAAGGAGTGGGGATTTTAATACAGCACGAAAGTTGGGCTAAGAGCAGCAAAGAATGTAATGGCCATTCAGTGATTTTGCTATGTCTCATGTGAACCACAGACCTGTAAGAGAAGTTGAGATATTATAGTTACTCAAAGGCAAAGTCCCAGAGATACCATTTGGAGAAATTAGCCAAGGAAAGAGGATTGATTCCACACACATATGACAAAGAGCAGGAGCAAGACTTGGGCTTGTGTGTGCGTACACACAAACCTGCATACCCCTTGAGCTTCATGCTAATGAAAACCTACCCCCATGAATACCTCTAGAAGTAGCCTCAGTTTCCCAACCTCTCTCTGCACATTTTCTGAGGCCTCCATCTACAGGTCACAGCTCATGTTGAAGGTTTAAATGCACTGAAGCAGAATTCTCCGCTTCAAGCATTTGTCTTTGACCAGAATTGGCTCTTCATCTTGATGGGGCTATCCATTGCTTGGTGTCCCTTGTAGCACTGGAAATGAAGGCCTATTAGAATGCAGACAGCCATTTAGAGAATTAGCATAATGTGAAACTAGTGGTGATGATAGACACATCATCAGGAATCATATACATAACCTCATTAGCTGTCTTGCGTCGGAGACAGAGGCAGGCGTTTGGAAGGTTGTTTGGGGCACCCTACAATCCCTACTGTTAGTAAAGGTGTTCTTGTTGTTGTTGTTGTTTAGTCGTGTCCGACTCTTTGTGACCCCATGGACCAGAGCACGCCAGGCACTCCTGTCTTCCACTACCTCCCGCAGTTTGGTCAAACTCATGCTGGTAGCTTTGAGAACATTATCCAACCATCTCGTCCTCTGTCGTCCCCTTCTCCTTGTGCCCTCAGTCTTTCCCAACATCAGGGTCTTTTTCAGGGAGTCTTCTCTTCTCATGAGGTGGCCACAGTATTGGAGCCTCAGCTTCAGGATCTGTCCTTCCAGTGAGCACTCAGGGCTGAATTCCTTAAGAATGGATAGGTTTGATCTTATTGCAGTCCATGGGACTCTCAAGAGTCTCCTCCAGCGCCATAATTCAAAAGCATCAATTCTTCGGTGATCAGCCTTCTTTATGGTCCAGTTCTCACTTCCATACATCACTACTGGGAAAACCATAGGTTTAACTATACGGACCTTTGTTGGCAAGGTGATGTTCTAGGCCCACCAAATCCCTCCCACTCCTCCTTACCCCCCTCCCAAAAGACTGCCCCACAGATAACACAGGTGCATTAACCTTGCCCCTTAGGGTAACTAAAACGAACAAATGTAAGCTGACTGTTGATTTGGGAAAGGACGGCATTAAGAGGTTGTGGGCGGAGGGAGAAGCCAAGATGCATTGCCTCCTTGTCTCCATCCAAACAAACCTCTGCATCCATTGTGGGGGCATCTGACAGCATGAAATGCAGTTGACTGCAGCCTACTTGGAGACAGCTTGGCAACCCTACCATTAGGCAGCTCTCTCCAAGCACTGATCCTGGGTGTGTTCACATGGTTTGTGCCCCAGGGAGGACACTTCGGTGCTGCCAATGCAGCAGCCTGCCTTCACCCCCAGAGGCACATTCCATTGTCTCTGGAGATAGACAGAAGCCAACAACAACATCACATGGACCCTTCCATGTCACCAAAAGGATGTAGAGGGGCCAGGGGGACTGGGTTATTGAGCTCCCTTGCCATGTGGCTTACCCTTGCTCACTGCTGTTGGGGCACACCACCATGCTCTCTCCATGTGCACACATCCAATGGATGTTGGAAGGAGTTCCACTCACATACAGAGGTGGAGTTCCTCCATCTGCTGGGTGTGTGTGTTTCCCCTTGGTCAGGATACATCCTTTCATGAAAGAGCTCTCCTTGCATATATATGAATTTTATTTGGAGTAACTCTCCTACGAAGCAACTTTCCTATGAGGAAAGCTTGCAGCAGCTGAGATTTTTTTAGTTTAGAGAAAAGGCGTACAAGAGGCAACGTGATAGGAGTTTATAAAAGGATGTGTGACATGGAGAAAGTGGAGAGAGAGAGAGAGAGAGAGAGAGAGAGAGAGAAGTTCTCCTCCTCCTCCTCTCATAACACTAGAAATCATGGACATTCAATGTAGGCGAATGTTGGAAGATTCAGGACAGGAAAATCCTCCATACACTTAACTTGCTACCACGGGGGGTAGTGATGGCCACTGACCTAAATGTCTTTAAAAGAGGATTAGACAAATTCACGGAGAAGAAGACTGTCAATGGCTATTAGCCAAGATGGCTATGCTCTACCACAATGGTTGGAGGAAGTAATGCTTCTGAATACCCACTGCTGGAAATCAGAGGAAAGGAGAGTACCCTTGTCCTCATGCCCTGCTTATGGGCTTCCCATAGGCCTCTAGTTGCCCACTGTAAGATGGGTCACTGGCCTGATCCAGCAGGACCTTCTTATGTTTTTAGAGTAGCTATGACAGTGGGCAGCACCTCATGCTGCGGTGGGCTGGGGCAAACTGCCCAGCTCTGTGCCCCCTCGGCACCTTCATTCAATGTGCGGAGGGTTTTATGTGTGATCCTCCCTTCTGCCCCTTGCTTCCTGCTTAGGAAGGGTTTGTTTTTGTAGGACTCAGCCCTCAAAATTCTGCTGCTCAGCTTTGAAAAGCAAAGATGCCCTACCAGAAAAAGAGATCCCAATCTTCGGACTCCCTGTGAATTAGAATGGATAATTCCTTCAGCACTCAAGCCAACGTTTTCAGAACGAAGGTTAAAATGTTCAACATCTGTCAAGAGCTGCCATCTCTGGGCTTTGGTGGCTTCCAGATCACATAGAGGCTGCTTTGTTTTTGGATTGGTGCAATAAGACACACACATGCGCGCGCGCGCGCCATGTGAGCTGATCATAGCCAAATTGACTTCAAATCTCAAAGCAGACAGCTTTTGAAAATTGATGAATTTTGTTCAGTTGATTTCCTGGCTCTATCTGCAGAGGCCAGAAAAAGCCAATGATTTGGAGCCTCTTTAATCAGAGGTGAACTTGCTATGTTGACCATTTGAGGAAGACTTAAACAGGGACAGGGTTACCAGCATCCAGGGTATTCTTGGACGGATCAGACCGCTGCCAGCCCTATATCAAACAAATGAACAGGCACAAAAGCCAATGTTTTCCTTCCATTCAGTTTATTTGCCTCTCGTGACAGTCCTCCAGGAGCACCCCTCAGGGTTGGTTTTGACATATGGCATTGCTACAGATGACTGGTCACATTAACAGACTTGCTGCTATGTCTTGTTTGGAACGTAATATATTTCACTCTCTTTCAACTGCAGACAACTGACTGGCCATTCTGAATGTAGTGTTATGTAGACCCCAGAACCTTCTTTTATAGAGCTCTTTCCCAATTATATGTAAGTTAAGTGGCCTTGCATGGATATTTGGTATGGAACAGTTGTGTTGCTGACACCAAAAACATAAGTTTTAAAAGAAATTAAAACCCATTAAAACTCAATTAAAATTGCATTTCTACAGAGCTTCAGAGCTAGCTGCCTGCCCTGTCACCATCTTGACTGGAAGTGTGTTGCTGACACTGGAACAATGGATTTAAGGGGTGGAATTCAGCATAGTGCCAAGGAGATGGTTTCATCTAGCACAAGGATTTCTGCTCACCTGACAAAACAATCTCCCCTCTCCTCCTCCTGCACACTGTTCTGGGGGTCCTCCTGACCCTGCAAGCAGATTTGGGAGCGGGGGCTTGTGGGTGCTAGCAGAACAGATTCATTGAATCCAGCCCCAATGAGTGCAAACCTATAGCATGACTAGATGGCAACGGAGTTCAGTGGTGGATTTTAGTAATTGTGGAGATGATGATGATGATGATGATTGTATATATATATATATATATATATATATATATATATATATATATATTAGAATCATAGAGCTGGAAGAGACCACAAGGGCCATCGAGTCCAACCCCCTGCCAAGCAGGAAACACCATCAGAGCACTCCTGACATATGGTTGTCAAGCCTCTGCTTAAAGACCTCCAAAGAAGGAGACTCCACCACACTCCTTGGCAGCAAATTCCACTGTCGAACAGCTCTTACTGTCAGGAAGTTCTTCCTAATGTTTAGGTGGAATCTTCTTTCTTGTAGTTTGGATCCATTGCTCCGTGTCCGCTTCTCTGGAGCAGCAGAAAACAACCTTTCTCCCTCCTCTATGTGACATCCTTTTATATATATACCCCGCCCTTCCCAGTTCAGAAAACCAGGCTCAGGGCGGCTAACAACAAATTTAAAACATTTAATTGTAAAAGCCGCATAAAATACAGTATAAAAGCATGAATAACAATAAAATTCAAAGTTCAGAAATCAATTCTAATAAGCATTAGTTAGTCACCAGGGCTAGCTGGCTGAAGTAGTCTTACTTGGGCCAGCGAGGAGGCCAGGGGAGAATTAGCTGTGGGGTCTCAGAGCCGGTGACCTTCATAAAAGGGGAGGGGGAGGGAAGGGAAGGGAAATAAAAAATCAGGCTGAATTCAAATTAAAGGCCAGGTGGAATAGCTCTGTCTTACAGGCCCGACGGAAGGAGGTTAAATGCCGAAGGGCCCTAGTCTCATTAGACAGAGAATTCCACCAGGTCGGAGCCATCACTGAAAAGGCCCTGGCCCTGGTGGAGGGTAGTTCAGCAGATGCAATTTACCTCCTTCTCTGCATGCGGTGGAGGCTGGTGCAGAAGGGCAAATAGGGAACTGCCCCACCAACCTCAGTCTATCCTTGACCAGCCCCCACCTGTCTGCTTTCTTCAGTGGGTGCCTCTGCATGTCATTGGCTCTGGCTGCACCTACGTAGTCTTGGTCTCCCTGTCTTCTGCCCCACCAGTTGCAATGGGTGCCAGCCTCTACTGGCAGTATCTCCTGCCAATGTTCCCTCTTCTTCCATGCAAGTGTTGAATGTACAGGAGACTCTGTTACGTCCGGTCACCCTATCAAGCTGAGCAATGTGAGGACACCACTAGCCAGGCAAGCCATCAAGCCTCTGGGATTTTCCAGACAGCCAATGCTCAGGGCCTCTGAATACCTTGAATTGAGAAATATGCAGACCTACATTATGGTGAGCTTATGCCCTCTTTCGTCAAGTCCCTTTGCAAAGCCACCTATTCCAGGAAGCTCTCAATTACACCTCCTCCTTCACTCCCAACTGCAATGAGGGGGTGAAAAAATATATGGTGAGTCCTCTGTGTATGTCACCTTTAACTTCAGTGCATGTGAAAATTATATATTAACTGCTTATTGGTCAGGCTTTGAGAAATCTATTGTGCTCATCTTCATCTGAAGCAGCCCAAATCTCAGAAAATACTTTGTCTTGTCCTAATAGACCAAGCTCCTGTGAAGCTCATTTTACCTAAATTTGGTAGCAATCTTGATATGGGAAACTTCAGAAAAGAAATAAACATTTTGAACCAGCTTAGATAATACTGGTTTACTTTTTCCTCCCTCTGTGTATGTGTGTGCACACACACACACACCTATACCTATATGTATATACATACACTATGCAGTAAGAAAGTGTGGTAGATAAACCTTAATATTGGCATAGAGGAGTGCCAACTTTGTAGACAACCACTGTAGCTGTGCTTTTAATAGCAGCTTGATCTTCAGGCACTGGTAGGTGATCATGTTTAACTCCCTGCTGTGGAAAGTGTCACTTGCTGATTTCTGCACACCAAGCAGAAGAGCAGACTAGGCTGGGCTGGGGGATTTTCTGGTCAGTTGGCAACCTTATTAGTAGCCTATTTCTCAAAGCTGCAGAGTTGAAAGGTCTGCCTCAGGGATCCCTGTGCTATTTAAGAAATGCAGCTCTTTATCACCGGCGTTTTTTTTCCTTTTCCTGCCAGCTCCTATTACTCAGCATAACAAGGATTTGAATTGAATGTTGAATCTGATTACATCAAGGGATTTGTCAAAATGAATCATTTGTGGACTATTATCTTGTACTCTCACATCTAGAATCCCATGGTGAAGAAACAGCGCTTTAGGATGCATTGTGTATTGTAACTCAAAACTATGTTTGCAATGAGGTTTGAAAATAATTGTCCAAGTAATCTTTCCTCTTTCATTCAAATTACAGCCTTGGGCAGTGAATGGACAGGTCCCTCAATTGGTTCCCATTGATGTTTTGCGTTCTTCTTTTGCTTTTACAGCATACGCTTCACACTTGTTTAACATGGACACGACAGGCCAGGAGCAACTCTTTGTAAGCCTCATAACATAGGTGCACAGGAAGTGGCCTTATTTCGAATTGATCCATTGGTCCATCTACCTCAGTGCTGTCAACACCTGAATGGCAGTGTCTCTCCAGGCCTTCAGACAAAGGGATCTCTCCCAGTTCTGCCTTCATTCTTTATTTTATTAAATGTGCATGGGTTCCCTTCAGTTTTTAACAAGCAATTCTAAAAGGTGGAGAAGGGGAGGATGTGTTTATGATGTCACTGGTTCCCTCCAATCAGTGCTGCGCAAAGACAAACTTGCGTATTTGATTCTCCAGAAACCTTGCTGGTATAATGCCAGGGTGATGCTGACGTGATGCCTTCATGATACTGCTGGGGTCCCACTCCCATCAGGCCCAGCCAGCATGCCTAATGGTCGGGGGTGATGGGAGCTGTAGTACAACAACACATGAAGGGCAGGTTTGCAACACCTGTACAGTTTCCTTGGAAGGAGATGAGTGCCTAGAAAGGCCTTCCGAGAGGTCCAGCTTCTTTCCCACCCAGCCCTTGTCATTTTCTTCCATGCCCTTCCCTCCACAAGTTAAGCTCCTTCTGCAACCATTGTCATCTACTGACAAAAGGGAGCAGGAACACAAAATCACACACTGGCTCCCTGGCAGCATTATGCATTTCAATTCACAAGGGACAGAGTACATTATTGCCTTGCGTCATTTCTCTGCTCTGCAGTTTTATGACACCATTTCACTTCTCCCAAAACTCTGCTTTTGCTGACCTTTTGTCTCCGGCAATCCCCTAAAAGCTTTTATGCTCATACCTGTTGTCTGCAGGCTTTTGCCATTAGCCACCCGCTACCAGAGTGACATGCCCCAAGGTGAGGTCAAAGCTGCATCCAGCAATGCTTCATGAATCTCACTGGCTTTCTCTATTTATAGGAGCATTTGCACCGGAGAAGTCTTTCTTCTATCAAATCCCTTTCCTAAAAAAGGAAAGTGGGCTTTGCCTGAGTCAAAGCATTGCCTGATCTGGCGCATCACCCAGCTTAGCTTAGGCTTCCTCAACCTCAGCCCTCCAGATGTGTTGAGACTACAATTCCCATCATCCCTGATCACTGGTCCTGCTAGCTAGGGATCATGGGAGTTGTAGGCCAGAAACACCTGGAGGGCCGAGGTTGAGGAAGCCTGCACTAGCTGATCCTTTAGACTAGCAATTCCATGGATTGAATTTGGAGTATTATGCATGAGTAGCATATGCACTGCCCCTTAGCTATGACTCTTTTTAAATAATTATCCATAAGAGCAAAAACATATTTCATAAGAACATAAGGAGAGCCCTGATGGATGAGACCAAAGACCTAGTCCATCTAGCCCAGCCCACCTAGTCCAACCTATCAATGAAAACAACTAACAAATATTAGGGGTGCATAGTTGCATCACTATGAATGGCTAAATTATGACGGCTAAACTGCTTCAAAGTGGAAGAATCCACATGGGTGAATAGGTTCCCATCTTGCTTTCTCCCTTATCTCCTCCCCCCATCTCCTTCTTGTACATGCTACAGAAAACACTGCTTTGGAAAATAGTGGCTGCTTGGGTGTTGTTGCTCACCGTATTATATCCATGTGGCAATAGTGACCATGTGACAAAACCAGCTGTGAATCTGCCCTGTTGCACTCCATCCCAAACGCTTGTTTGATCTGCAGACGTCCATTGGCCTTGGCCATGACTCTTTGGATCAGAGATGGGAAACCTGTAGCCCTCCGGATGATGTTGGACTACAGCTCCCATCATCCTTGACCATTGGCCATCCAGCATGAAGCTGATGGGAGTTGGAGTCCAATAACATCTGGAGGGCCACAGATTCCATACCCTTTGATAATGTTAAATGGGCAACACTGAATGTCAGCCAATCTAAAGGTTTGCTTCTGAAAGCAAAGTAGGACCCTGCTCTTTCCCTTGCCTCTATGATCTGCCATTACCAGCGCTATAGGTAGAGACTGACGTCCTTTCTTTGCAAAACCTCCACTTTTTTGCTGGCATGCTGAGTTCCTTGAACCCTCCATGCCCTATCCGGGTTATGAAAATCATTTCAGTCTCTGTGTCTTTTCAGCTAGCTTATTAGTTCAATTTCCTACTGCACGATTTGTTTTGTTTGTCCAAAAATACATCGCCATGGGTCTCACCTGGTAGCTCAGCTCTTAGGTCACCTGGAAGCTCACTTCTTAGAAATGACAGTCTTACGTGGTTGAAAAGCTTACTGGGATTTTGGGATGACTTCGTCTAGCAACTTCTTGATCCTCCAGAATACACTGCTTTGTCTCCAGCCAGTCTTTCCTTGTCAATATCTGACCTGTGATGGATTGTTCCCCTCGCAAGCAGTCAGGGAAAGAGAAAAGAGTGGCACCGGAGACTTTTCCTAGGTTCCCTATCATGGACCAGTTTTCTTGCGGCTCTTATCCTATAGAAATTCAATGCTGTTGCTACCTCAGTATTTGCCTAAGATGCAGAGCCTGTTTTGAAAAAAAGAATTATTATAACACATAGCATAGCTTTATTATCCTGTGGTGCCTGGTGTGGTATTGGACACAGAATTCATCTTTCTGATAACCTGCCATTTTTCATCAAAAAGCATGTTTCTAATCCCTATGGCTGCAAGCAACACCTGCCAAAATCTTAGAAGCAGAGTGATGACTGAATAAAATTTCCAGTGGTTGCGGGGGGGGGGGGGGGGCTTTTGTGTGGACATGCATGACTAGCAAAACCAAAGCAAATGATGCAAAATAACAAAAAGAAGAATTGCAACCATTTCTTCTATTTTTATAATTTAAACAAGATTGAGAAGTCATCCAGTTTTCCATGCAAAACTTTAGCACATACAGCCCCTGGCTATTAGCTGAGTACAAGCAAGGGCCTTTTCAAGCGTTACACTTCACCTTAGACTTTAAGATTTGAATACAACAAATCTGTTTAAAAACAGTTGGGGTTGTGCAGGTAAAGTTGTCAGGAGGAGTGCTAGGACTGGCTGCAGCCCCTTTTAAAAGTATATGCTTGTTGCAAACCCACATTTGTCCTACGACGTATGTAAAACAGGTTGTGCAGGACAGCAGCAAAGAACAACAAGCGCTGTTTGTCACCCGCTGCTGATTCACCCAGTGGTGATTCATTTGAGTTGGACATTTTGCACAAACAATCAGCTCCGTTTCAAAGAAGGTGTTCTTAAAAAGGCGGAAAGAATGTGTTTAAGTTGTGTGCAATATTTGGGGTTCTATTTCCAATTTGCAAAACAAGAGTGTTTCTTACCTTAAAAAAAACCTGATAAAATTTTGCAACGTGTGTGATATTTCCTTAATATCGAGTGCTTCCTGGCACTTGGAGGAGGTCTAGGAGTGGGGAGAAGGACCCACAATACTCCAGAACAGTGCCTGCCTGTGCTATTTTTTTAAAAAAGAAGAGTGAGATGGATAGCAAGATACCAACTTCGCATTTTCACTGAGGTGAGAGGGTGGAGGTGGATCCTGTCAACGGCTAGTTTAATGGGGATTCAAGATGGATATAACTGGATTATGTAACTGATCACTTAATCAAAACCTGGAAGCTGGCATTGTCAAAAACACAAGGCGAGGTAGATAATTCACTTCTGCTTGTCATGATGCTGTCTGTGGAATGCCACCACCAGCGCCAGGTATAAGGGGTGCTTGGGCCTCCAGCCCCCTCAATATTTTGAATCAGGGGGCTTGAGCCCCCCAATATTGAGGGGGCCAACATCCCCCGCCAACGCCAGGTGCCTTCCATGCACCTAAACCCCCGCCTGGGAGCCAGGAGGGGCCTGGGACCAGCAAGAGTGAAGATTGCCCTCTGCGTGCACGCCCCAGGGCATGCCATGGGGAGGAGGAGGTGGAGCAAAGCAGCACCACGCTCCGCCTCCTTCTCCCCCCAGCATGTCCCACTGGGCAGACGCATCTCGTGATGCTTCACGTGACATCATGTGATGTGTCACATTATGCACCCCCTCCAATGGGGGGGGGGACAAGTTGACGCCCCTGAGGGCCACACAAAACTGATGCGGAGTTCCTAGGGTTAAGCGATGAGATCCAATGCCCCAAAAAGCAAAGGGAGGCATACGTGGCATTATCCTGTTTCATTCCTTACAATAGGCATTAGAAGTACAGTGGTACATCGGGTTACAGACGCTTCAGGTTACAGATGCTTCAGGTTACAGACTCTGCTAACCCAGAAATAGTGCCTCGGGTTAAGAACTTTGCTTCAGGATGAGAACAGAAATCGTGCTCTGGCAGGGCGGCAGCAGCAGGAGGCCCCATTAGCTAAAGTGTTATTTCAGGTTAAGAACAGTTTCAGGTTAAGAACGGACCTCCAAAACGAATTAAGTTCTTAACCCGAGATACCACTGTAAATATGAGCCATTCGCACCATAAACCTAGACATGTTTACTCAGCAGTAAGTCCCATTATGTCCTGTGAGCAAGTGTGTTGAGAATTACAGCCCCAGTGAACTTTATCCATGCTATTTCTCTCCTAGGCTCTCACAGGCCTGAAGCTCTGTAGTTCAGACGCCACAGTTATAGCTTATCATTCCTCGCTTCCTTGCTGCTGAGAGCCCCTCTCCCCCAAGCTGCTCCATATGGGCTTCTGGTAAGCTGCAGCTTCTTGGCGCAGCCTGATGACATCACTGCAGCACAGGCAAGGCAACTGGCTGTGTGTTGTTCCCTGAGGTACTGGATGAACACAAGGACATACGAAGAGCCTGCTGGATTGGGCCATTGGTCCATCTTGTTCGACACACTGCTCTTATAGCGGCCAACCAGATGCCCATGGGAAGGCCATTAGGAGGATTTGAGCACAACGGCACCCTCCCCACCTGAAATTCCTAGCAACTGTCAGTCCAAGGCATAGTGCCAGACTTTGGGGGTCCTTGGCACTGTGCCGCCAGTGGGTGCCCACCCTCAACACTGCTGCACACACCATCGCTCCAAGGCAGCAGCTGCAAGTGGAGGCCATTTGGCTTCCATTCGAAAGTGACATTGCCATCTGCCCAGTGCTAATACAGTCTCCCAGGAGAAATTGTGGTGAAATTGGTACATGTTTCCATATGTGGTGGCCATGCAAAGAAACATTCACATTCTGGTTGGAGATTTTTAATGAAACGAAACAAATAACTGGCCAAAATATATATAATGAGCCCTCAATTGGCATTGTTGCCTATTTTTAACAAGTCTCAAAATATTCTTTTTAAAGAGTTAATACTTTTCCTTGTTGTGGCAGCTAGATTAATAACCACCAAATTCTGGAATCAGTCACACTCCAACTTGCTGAGTCTGCGGTATAAGGAAATGTGGCAAACTGCTCTGATGGCAAATCCTACCTTTAAAGTAAAGGCTGAAAGAAATGGTCTGGAAGCAGATAAATTTTGTGTCATGTGTTACAAATCTATTGCATATAACCAAGTCTGAGGGCATTCTTCACCCTCCCACAACTCACAGAATACTAGTTTGTTTTGTTTGTTTCATTTGTAACTATTGTTGTTCTGGTTGTTGTTGTTGGGATTTTTTTTTACTTTTAAAAACCTTAAACTTGTTGTAATAAATATATAACAGTCTCCCAGAGGCCTGGCTAGGAGGACAGTAAGGTGACACAGCTAGGTCAGGCTGGTGAGGGGCTCTTCTGAGCTGCTGGGGCCTTCAACTGATGGCCAACCTGGTCAACTCCTGGTGCTGGGCATGTTGTTTCACTTCAGCAAGGTAGTGGCCAAATGTGCCTAGACCAGACTCGCCCAGCCAGTTACTCTAACCCCCAACTAAAAACAGAGCAAGCAAGTTTTGGAGATTAATCACTACACAACCTCTGATTGCCATGATGATTTCAAAAATAGGCCATTCAAAAGAAAAGTGCCTTGTGTGAGAGAAGGAGTATAGCTGGCTGGGATTTTTTTTAAAATAACCAGACCAATATCAACAGCCAGAATGGTGGTAGGCGGGAACAGCAAACATCAGACGCTCAAATCAATTAGGAGTTCCTCATTTTTACATGAACACGGAGATAAAAGAAGGATGTTGGATTCAAGCAACAATCAGACCAATCCTAAGCATAGCTGAGTGTGACTAAGCCTGTCAAAATTAATGTGCTTAAGCACACCTAGCTTTGCATAGGAACAGGCTGCTCAGCTGAAACCCTGTGCACTTGGAAGTCAGCCCCAGTGAAGTAAGCCTAGCAATGAGCTTTGTTAGGGTGCTTTTTATTGTATTTTAGATTTAGCAGAAACTCACATGCAGACTGTTGCATGTGATATAGGCGTTGTTTCATCTCAAGGCCTCTTCATACAATGGAAATTCACGTGGAGGCATGTCATACCTTACAAGCGACCTGTGCATTTCCTATGATTCTCTACAGAGAATTACTTTCCTTCTGGAGATCTGTAATGTATAAACTAACCCTCTTTGCCATACCCTACCATGGAGAGGTTGTCCTTCAAGAGGCAAGGCAGTGCAGCTCAGGTTCCCTACGCGTAAACTGAGGAGGCATGCAGTTAAGTGGCAAATGAAGTGTGCATGTAAAGTACCCCGTGGATGTGTACCTCGTGTTGAATCATCTGGGTCTCAGAGTTAAGTTGCTTTGAACCCTTCATGTGTTTGTGCAAAAAGAAAGGAAGAGGAAGAAGCCTTGCTACAGGGAAGGGCTCAACAAAGAAAAGAATTCTGTGAAATGCTGAATGGCTCAGCGAAATGATTTAAGCTGCAGTCTTGTATACTGTTCAGCATCCATAGCTCTGCAATTTTCTTCATGGACTGTGTGGAGGGTGTTAGCCTTCATAAGCGTTCAGATATTCCAGTCCCCATAGTAAACATGAGTGGAGTTCTGGATTTGGTGCATGTTAGTCAATGTGCAGAGATAACCAAGTGGGGTGGAAATAAAGTTATAATAATATTTTGCATTTGTGTTTGCAAGTGTTTAGAACGCTTCATGTAAATAACCTTGTTGTGACCTTTTAACAGGAGTGGGGACCCTTTAGCTTTTGGGTGGTTGGACTCACAGGAAATGAAAGATGCACTTGACCAGGCAAATCTGACTGATCTGATCTTGGTTCTGCCTCACAAAACCTAGATCACAGGAAGGTTCCTTGCAGACAATCAATAAGTCAAATTGCGTAAAACAAGTATGAATTGCCAAGCAGTAATGCTGCCACCTTTTCCCCAACCCCTGACAGAGACTTTGCAACTCTAACACCTGTGGAACAGGCAGAAATTCCACAGGTACAGATTTTTCCAGCTAAAGAGAAGCCAGGATGGAGAAGCTATGTTTGTTGGATTTCTGCCTGTCATGCAGCTGTTAAAATATTTGGAGAAAAATGGTGATTCCCCAGTTGCATTCCTTGGCAGTTCTTCAGCATTTTACTGTCACAGAAACATTCAGAAGGAAAAACTTCAAATGCTGTTTGTTTTTCTTTGCTGTTGCTAGACAGACAGACACACAAAGGGGGGGGAGGAATCGCATCTCACACAGTGCTGGACCCTCTGCACAGCCAGTAAATCATAGCAACTGCATCAATGCTACCTTTCAGGAACAGAAGGCAGAAGGATCTTTGGTCCAAAGATGTAAGAAGCTGGAGCATAATTTGTCATTGACCAAAGATAGTGCAAGTTATGCTGAGATGACTGTTAAATCCAGGTTTGTTTGGGGGTTTTTTCTAGCTAACAGCCCTTCCTCTGCCAACATATATTTCATTGCATCCTTTTACACAGAGTCAAAGATTTCAAAGATGTCCAGAGCAGATTGGAGTTGCGGGGGGGGGGGGGGAACGATGGGACTGTCATGTCATTATTAATATTTGGAAAAGTCATGTGTGATGTTTGTACAGCTGGGTTCCTTACTATGAGTATGCACAGTGGAATATTCATGTGTAGGATTGTTACACCTTACAATCTAAATACCAGTTTCCAGGGATTTCCTGCATGGGTACATCTTCCATGTTGGGCATCTATCATGTGTGAACCAGCCCACAGCTCTGTCTTTTTTTTTGCAGTGCTTACATAATGCTTGGCAGCCTTCTCCAACCTAGTGCTTTCCAGGTGTTTTGGACTACACCTCCCATCAGTCCCAGAGTTTGGCCAATGGTGATGGACAATGGAAATTGTTGTCCAAAACTTCTACAAGGCACCAGGTTAACTTATGGTATACAGCAGTGTGTCCCAAACTTGGGTCTCCAGCTGGTTTTTTTAAAAAAAACTACAATTCCCATCATCCCTGACCACTGGTCCTGCTAGTCAGGGATGATGGGAGTTGTAGTCCAACAACAGCTGGAAACCCAAGTTTGGGAGACACTGGTATAGAGGATGTACTATAGGCAATTGAATGGCATCCCACTTCACCAGTTCCTATGTCAGGACTTTCCCTGAGCAGCAGACTAAGCTGCTATTCAGATACAGGGTGGGTGTGGATGTGCAGCCAGATACATTGGATCTATGGCACTAGATGAAGAGGGGCTAGAAGCTGGTCCAGGCCCCAGCATCACAACCAGGCCTAAGCTCTGGCCTTACTCATCAGATTGAGGGGTACTTGAGCCAACTGTCTCTGAATCATGATCTTTGTAGCCTAAACCTCTTGAGAAGCTGTTCCCCTCTGCACCAGAGACTCCTACACATCCCCATGCCAGCCCTCCAGTACAGGCAATGAGCTGGGATGGTGTTGTCTAATATGAGATGGTGTGGTGGGCCCCCATTAAGGCTTTCCACTCCTCAGGAAGCACTGGAGCCTTGGAGGGGTGAAGCATTAAAAAGCTTCAGTCCTGTTGTGGACTTGATTGGAACAAGTTTCTTCCTTGGAGCTCTCCATGGTGCTGTAACTTCTGACTTGCCTTGCTCCGTTGTAGGCTTCTTGTCAATGATCAGATCCACACCGTCAATTTTAAAACACTCTTGTAGCACTTTAACAGTCATGGCTCCCCCCCAAAAAAAGAATCCTGGGAATTAGATTTGGGGAATCCAGGACCAGGAAAGACTTCTGTCTGAACTTGCTGGCAGTCAATGTACAAACGCTAAGCTAGATGGAGTAATGATCAGACTCTGTATAAGGCAGCTTCCTGTGTTCCAGTTCACAGTGTCAAAACTCATTTGTGAGCTGCATGCACTGCAGGCTACAAGAAATGGTCACCTGATTAATTTGTCGAGTGGCCAGACTAATTCTTCACTATGGGATGAGCAGAGTAATTTTCCCCACACTTCAGCAGAGGCTGAAAATTGATCCAGGCAAGCAGCATAACGACCACATGGCTGCATAACTCTGAGGGCAGATAGAGTGCATTTTCCTCCACGATGCGGCTAGGGCCAGTTTTTGACCACACCAGTGAACCCAGGCCATGGTTGCGACACTCAGATCTCTGGAGGGATGAGGAAGGTCAATCATTATTTTGTGTTGCTCTCTCCTGTAGTATCAGATCTTTGACTTGAGACCCACATAGCATTTCTTACTGCGGGGAGGTGATTCTGATGCAGGTCCTTCATCTTGGGAAGTGGCAGTTCCAGGCCAAAATGAGCAGAATGTATTCTTCTGGGGACACTAAAAAACTAAGTCATGGCAAGCAAATAATGGGACTACTGGCAATTTATGCTCCTTGCTAATACTGCCACCAGGCATTGCATCAGCTAGTATTTTCAAATAATAGAACCATTAAGGCTAAGGAGGAGGAGAAATCTGAAGCATCAACCAAACGTGCAACAGTGGAACTGAAATGAGACCAGTAGAATCCAAGGATAAAAGTGTTTCATCCTTCTTCTTCTTCTTCTTCTTCTTATTATTATTACTTCTGGTAATATTACAGAATTTGTTTTGGTTCAGGCCATGAAAGAATTGGTATGTTTAACTGAGTTGAAAAGTTATTATCCTGCCACAGAAATAAATAATTTTTATTTAAAAAAAGCATTCTTAGGCTAAAATAACTCCTTCTAGAAACCCAATGCCCAATTTGGTTCAAACTTAATTCTGGACAGCCACTGAGAGAAGGACTTATTTTAGCCTAAGAATCATGATATGCCTTGTGGAAGTTGTGGAGCTTTGCCCAGCTTTTTAATGGTCATGTGTCCAGAAGAAACTGTTGGTATCAGCTGACTCCAGGGTCATGGCACCCAGTGAGGACTGAGCATGCTCAGTGGGCATGGAATGCTGGATGGGTATTGGAGGAATGGAAAACAGGAAGGAAGGGGAAATGGGATAGAGTATCCTGGGTGTGGCTGGTTGGTTGGCACCCTGAAAGGAGCACTCCACATTGCAATATTTTGATGCAGATCCTAATTGTAGCAGCAGCTGCAGCAGTTGTAATGTAGTTCAATATTATAATGCTTTTTTTTAATAAAAATTATTTATTTCTATGGCAGAACGATAACTTTTCAATTTAGTTAACCATACCAATTCTTTCATGGCCTGAACCAAAACAAATCCTGACACTTGAACTTGCTCCAGAATTTGATGTATTAGTATTAATGGTTTGGCTCCCTGAATCCAATTTTGTACTCTAGTATTTTTGGGGGGAGGGGACGTGGGTGGCACTGTGGGTTAAACCTCAGAGCCTAGGACTTGCCAATCAGAAGGTCGGCAGTTCAAATCCCCGTGATGGGGTGAGCTCCTGTTGCTCAGTCCCTGCTCCTGCCAACCTAGCAGTTTGAAAGCACATCAAAGTGCAAGCAGATAAATAGGTACCGCTCTGGCGGGAAGGTAAACGGCGTTTCCATGCGCTGCTCTGGTTCACCAGAAGCGGCTTAGTCATGCTGGCCACATGACCCGGAAGCTGTAAGCCGGCTCCCTCAGCCAATAAAGCGAAATGAGCACTGCAACCCCAGAGTCGGTCACGACTGGACCTAATGGTCAGGGGTCCCTTTACCTTTACCTTATTTTTTTTTGGGGGGGGGAGATGTTTGAGTAAACTTTCAAGTAACACAGGATTCTTCAGAAGAAGAAGGAAAAGGAGGAAGGAAAAGGTCTGCAAACTCCTAAACCTGCACGTCCTCACCAGTAGAAGTTGGTCTTCTTATCTCTCTGTTCTATAGATAAGGCAGAGTTCTCTCGTTTCCAAGGTTGCAAACTGACAAATTTCAGCTACCCTCAAGTATCACTTTAAAAATAAAAGCCAAAGTCAGATTCAGAGATACCAATCTCCTTTTTAAGATTAGAAATGGGGCTATTATACGTATCCCATAGAATGGATGAATGGGTTATGCTGCGGTGAGGTCAAAAAAGAAAGGGTGTTAAAAGTCCCTTTATTGCTCTGGAAGCTGTTGAGTCCTTCTCTCCCAATAATGAAGGTCAGCTCAAATTATAACAGAGGTCTTGATGAAGTTGGAGATGGGCTGCTACCAAGGTTGAAACTCTAATGGGCATTATGCTTGGAGATGGAAGATCAGGGTTCAAAGACTCAGAAGAAGTTCAGTGCTCCTATCTCCCTCTCCCTCTCATACACACACACACCTCAGACTTTTCAAAACCTCGGATCAAGCTATCACATAAACTCAGTGATCATAGGTCATATTCACACCATATAGTTACAGTGATATGTTATCTTTAAAGAGGCATGGCTTCCCCCCCCACCAAAGAATTCTGGGAGCTGCAATTTGTTAAGGGTGCTGAGAGTTGTTATGCAACCCCTGTTCCACTCACTGAGCCACAATTCTCAGAAGTTCTGGTGAAGAGGGACTGATTGTTAAACCACTCTGGGAACTGTAGCTGTCTGAGGGGAATAGGGATCTCCTAACAACTCTTCACAGGGACGCAGGTGGTGCTGTGGGTTAAACCACAGAGCCTAGGACTTGCCAACCAGAAGGTCGGAGGTTCGAATCCCTGTGACGAGGTGAGCTCCCGTTGCTCAGTCCCTGCTCCTGCCAACCTAGCAGTTCGAAAGCACGTCAAAGTGCAAGTAGATAAATAGGTACCGCTCCGGCGGGAAGGTAAACGGTGTTTCCATGCACTGCTCTGGTTCGCCAGAAGCGGTTTAGTAATGCTGGCCACATGACCCGGAAGCTGTCTGTGGACAAACAGTGGCTCCCTCGGCCTATAGAGCTAGATGAGCACCGCAACCCCAGAGGCGTCTGCAACTGGACCTGGACCTAATGGTCAGGGGTACCTTTACCTTTTTAACAACTCTTCACACTCTTAACAAACTAAATCTCCCAGAATTCTTTGGGGGAAGCCATGCCTGTTTAAAGTGGTATCATAGAGATTTTAATGGTTTAGAGCGAATGTGGCCTTAGGAAGCTGCCTTGTACTGAATTGGTTCATTAGTCCATCTAGAGCAGTATTGTCTACAATTTCACCTTGGCACAGTGAGCTGGTTTCTATACACATTCACACACCCTTCTCTGTCTTCCTATCAGGAAAAGAAGAGCCAGTGTTATTCCAGCCAGGCAAATACACTCAAAAGGGGTGCAAATCTCAGACGCTCCAGGTGTCCCCATTTTTCAGAGACAGTTCTGGATTTGCAGAAGCCGTCCCGGTTTCTGATTTGATCCCAGAATATCCCGCTTTTCCTTAGGATGTCCCTATTTTGATTGAAGAAACATTGGAAGGGATGTCTCAAATTTCATCAGAAAAATATTGACGGGTATGGAATAGGACGTCCCTATTTTCATTGGAGAAATATTGGAGGGCATGGAATAGAATGTCCCTGTTTTCATTACAGAAATGTTGGAGGGTATGAAAGCCGAGTCAGTAGGAGGTATGTATGGCTAGGGAGGTAATATGGACTAGCGAGTGTCTCAGAGAGGTCAGACATAGAGATTTCGAGGGCTGTATTTGGCCCCCAGGCCTTAGGTTCCCCACCCCCAGTCTACACTGACTGGCAGTGGCTTTCCAGGGATTCAGACTGGAGTCTTTCCCAGCCCTAGCTGGAGGTGCCAAGGATTGAACCTGGGACCTTCTACATGCCAAGCAGATGTTCTGCCACCGTGATACGATCCTTCTCCTCTCTCACACACACTCTGTTTGTTCAGTACTGAGAGAGGCAGCAAAGGCTTGACAGACAGCCACACAATAGCGGCAAGCTTTGGAGAATCACACCTTGTACAGGTCCAGATTACCATCTGCCAAGCTGTTTTAGCAAGACAGCAAGCAGCCATTTTTGCCTTCTCAGTTTTCCCCTCGCCCTCTCCGCTGCCACAAACATGGAAACAGACACAGCCTTGGTCACACAAAGGTTTCCACACATGATTTTACAGTGTGTGCTTGGCTGAGGGAGGCACACAGCTGCTCTTGTTGCTGGGGAACCTGTGTTGAACTGGCCCAAATTCACCATACTAAAACAATCTCAGTCAGTCTATTGTGATTATGGTTCCTAGAGTTGTGTGTGTGTGTCTATATTCTAATCCAGGAGGATTTGTGATCTCACATAGCACAGTCCCTGCATCAGCCAATCAGGACGCTTCCCCTTTTCCAAGGCATTTTCATAAATAAGGGCAGATTTAAACTAAACCCTATCTGCCACACGCCCGTCTGTTAGCCGATGATGAGGCTACAGTGTGTAATTAAACAATCATTTATATTCCATGCAAGTGCGTGCCAAACAATGAAGCGCTCTCGAGAGCCTTGTGCTGCTGAGGCATTTAATCCGCACACAGAAGGCGCCTTGCTTGCTTCAGAGCTGCTCTGGCAGAATGGGCCTTGTCACCACGCAGCAGGGAGGGAGTGGAGTTTTATTCTTCAATAATTTTGATAAGGCTGCAGAATAATTTAAGTAGCTAATAAGGATGCTGAATTTCTTGGGCCAGGTCCATGTGCACAATGTTGGATTGCCTTGCACATATTTGGGGGCTGGGGAGGGCAGATAGAAACTGGTTAGTGAAGGAGCATTGGGCCTACCTATTGAAATATATACAGGAGCATCCAAAACCAAACAGACAGACAAATACAGTGGTACCTCAGGTTAAGAACTTAATTCGTTCTGGAGGTCCGTTCTTAACCTGAAACTGTTCTTAACCTGAAGCACCACTTTAGCTAATGGGGCCTGCTGCTGCCGCCGCACCGCCGGAGCACAATTTCTGTTCTCATCCTGAAGCAAAGTTCTTAACCCAAGGTACTATTTCTGGGTTAGCGGAGTCTGTAACCTGAAGCGTCTGTAACCTGAAGCATATGTAACCTGAGGTACCACTGTAGACAGACGGACAGATGGACAGACAGATGGACAGACAGATAGATAGATAGATAGATAGACAGACAGACAGATCCAGCAAAATTGGACTTTTTCAGTAAAGAAAGAGATGCAGAAATGCACTGGAAAGTGTGGTATAACAATTAAAATCACAGAATTGTAGAGTTGGAAGGGACCACGAGGGTCATCTAATCCAAACTTCGACAATGCAGGAATCTTTTGCCCTATGTGGGGATCAAACCCATGACCTGGAGATGAAGAATCTCATGCTCTACCAACCAAGCCAACACTTGAGATAATTGCTTGACACAACATCACATAACCTCCCCATAAAGAAACCGGAATTAAAACTCCGTGAACAAGTCTAGGGTGAAACACATTCCTCTTCAGAGCAGGCCTGCTGAAATCAGTCGACCTGACTTGTCCATTGGTTTCAGTTCCCAGAGTAGTTTAACAACCAATTCCTCTTCCCAAGGTACTCTGGGAATTGTATCTCTGCAAAGGGGTAACAAACTCTCTGCAAAGGGCAAACAACTCTCAGCACTCTCAACAAACTACAGTTCCCAGGATTCTTTGGGGGAAGCGAAGACTGTTTAAAGTGGCATGATACCACCTTGAATGTATGCCACAGATGGGGGGAAATTCTGACTTGGTTTAATAAGAGAGCTCCTTATCTCCTTCTTATATTTTACTTGCTGCAATCCTTCACTAAAATCTTTGGGGGATTTGGAATTGAAAGGAATCCCAGCCTCCACTCTTTGGGGATAGAAAAAGAGCTGGCATTCTCATTTAGGAGCAGAGTCACAAAGCAACGGACCTTATCACAGAAAAAACGATGTACCCAGACTATCAACAGGGAGCAGAGAATTAGGCAGGTCTCTGGAGCCCGGAGTCAGAACTTCTAGCTACCAGTTTAAGCATCTCTGAATCATATTTTTGTTGACTTACAATTTCATTTGCTAGGATGGACCACAAGTGAAAATTAAATTTGGGAAATAACAGCCAGCCAAGCAGAGCCTCATAGATTAGGGGCTTACATAGCTCACAAAAGGCAAAACACTTGCAACCAGGAAACAAAGTTTATCTCCCTCCCCTGTCAAGGATTCTGCCTTTTGCCCCATTCAGCCAGTTCTTAATATTTATTCTCAGTTCCTCTGGCATGCTCAGTGTAGAGTGCCACTTGCTAGAGTCAGGGATGGTCATAAATTGGGACTGGGAATGAGGCAAAGGGTAATCTGACCCTGTTTCTGTAGCCAGGGACTGCCTAACAACCACTACTGCTCCATGGCCTTCTGGGATGACCAAAGTATGACAGCCTTCCAGAGATCCACTAGTACAGAGCACCAGAGCTGTGGGGCCACCACAGAGAAGGCTCTGTGCCTTTTGCCCATCAACCTCATCTTAGTGGGTTTCTGCAGTGAAATATACCAGTATACCTGAAGGAGCGTCTCCACCCCCATCGTTCTGCCCGGACGCTGAGGTCCAGCGCCGAGGGCCTTCTGGCGGTTCCCTCATTGCGAGAAGCAAAGCTACAGGGAACCAGGCAGAGGGCCTTCTCGGTGGTGGCGCCCGCCCTGTGGAACGCCCTCCCATCAGATGTCAAAGCGATAAACAACTACCTGACATTCAGAAGACATCTTAAGGCAGCCCTGTTCAGGGAAGTTTTAAATATGTGACATTTTAGTGTATTTTTGGTCTCTGTGGAAGCCGCTCAGAGTGGCTGGGGAAACCCAGCCAGATGGGCGGGGTACAAATAAATTATTATTATTATTATTATTATTATTATTATTATTATTATTATTATTTTTAGTTTGTTTGTTTGTTCATTATTACATCTATATCTTATTTCCATCCAAGGATCTCAAGGTGGCCTACATGGTTCACCCCTGTCCTATCTCCATGGTATCCTCACAACAACCCCAAAGAGGTATTTTAGATGGTGGTCACATGGAGTCCATATATTTAAACTGCATGGCTTCCCCCAAAGATTCCTGGGAACTATGTTTGTTAAGGGTGATAGCAACTATAGCCCTGTGAGGGGCAAACTGCAGTTTTCCCAGGATTCTTTGGGGGCAGCCATTTTGTGTTGAATGTTCTTTAAATTATGGTGTGAATGTGACTTGTAACTGGTCCAAGGTCACCCCGTGAGCTTCATGGCCAAGTGGAGATTTGAACCCTGGTCTCCCATTTTGTTCAACACTCTAACCGCTGTTCCACACTGGTGTGGTTTCCCCAGCCGCTTCACCCAACTCCCTTCTTTTTTCACACAGTGGACAACTAATTGCTCTTTACTTTTTGGGTACATTTTTATAGATTTTTAATACATCCTAAACATCGAATCAATTGCTTAATAACAGTAATTGGCATAAGTAAGTCAAACCATTGTGTCATAATAAGGAATGAAGAAACAACAAATACAAACAAAGAACAATCACTAAGCAAGTATTTTTTTAAAAAAATGTATATGGTAATCTTCAGGGATCATATCAGGTAAGTATAGCAACAACAAAACAATCTGTTTTATATTGCAGGTTCAGGAAAAGGGGGGGAAATAATGGAGAGTAGAAGACACATAAAGAGAGAAAAATAACAAACCAAGACACTTCAGATTAACCTGATTGCTTTTTATAAGTCTAACCTATCTCCATCCTCCTCTTCCCCCTTCCTTCCTTTCTTCCTTCCTTCCTTCCTTTTCCGTCTTCTCCTTTTCTTCTCCTTCTGCAGGAACCTTCTGCATCATTTCGCTGTGCACCTGCGTGGCTGGGATCAACTTCGAGCTCTCCCGATACCCCCGGTACCTGTATGGACTTCCAGACGACATCAGCCATGGCTACGGCTGGTCCATGTTTTGCGCATGGGGAGGCCTGGGTCTCACTCTGATCTCCGGCTTCTTCTGCACCTTGGCCCCTTCTGTTCAACCTGTCCCCAGGACCAACTGCCCCAAATCGAGACCTGAGAATGGGACAGTGTGCTAAAACAGACACAAACAAACCTACCAATATACATATTATAAATATATATATATATATATACATAAACATATATCATATATAGATCTCAAACGGATGCCAGTGCCAATGTAGAGTGGAGTCCAATATGGCGCCTACGTCTCCTCTACAGACTTTGTATCGCTCTTGTTCTTTCTCCTGGAGGTGGAAATAGTTTTTCTGCACCATTGCTCTTCCATCTAGTTCTTTAAGAACAAACAAAAACACACATCTTCAGCATCCCAGTTCCAAAAGTCAAGTGAACATATTGTTTCATCTGACTACTGCTGGTTAGGGGTGGGTTACAGTAGGGCTTGGGAAAGGGTTGTTTCTTGGGGTGTGTGATAACTGAGTTTGTATAGGAAGCTAAAACACACACACACACACAATCTTGCCTGTTGCAAATTGGGGAAACAGAAATCAAGCATTTGTGTTACCTCTCTCTAAAATGTAACCTCCTCAAGGCCATCTTCAGAATCCCTCCCTTTTTCCTGCACACTCTCCTCTTTTTAAACAACAACAAAAATCTTGCCTGTTAATTTTGTCTGACTTACCAATAAAAGGGGGTGAACGAGAACATCTTTTTTTAAAAGGTTCCCTTTCCTTGCTAAACTTTAAGCAACAAGGCAAATTATCAAGAACCTTGCGGAATACAACTGCGACTGAGGACGCTTCATGGATGCTGCTTTCAACTTCCAACTGCCTTACATCCAGGCCTAACAGAGAGAGCTGAACTGCTATCGGGGAAAACACAGGAGAACACCTCGCTAAAATGCTGTGATACATGTGTGTATAACTCCCCCTCTCCTTTTGTTTTTTTCATTTTTAAAAAAGGAAAACCAATTCAAACATTGCAATGTGATCATCTGCCAACTCATCCTCTCTGTGTTTGTGACTCAAGGCATCAAGACTTGTGGATGTATGAGGAAAATGTGTCTGTTCTCTGAGTCACGTGGGCCGGATTTTGTTCTGCGAGTGTTTCTCCCTTGCCTATGGAACAGCAGGAGATTTTCCACCCACGGGCTGGATGGAAGGCATTGTAGGTAGCGTTGGGTGAGGGGAGATACAGGCCTTTGTGGTTGGTTGAACTTTGGGGTGATTGTGCAGGAGGAACTCTGGCGGAGATTTTGTTGTTGTTGCCGCCATTTTGTCAATGAAAAACAATGGGGGTAAAGAAGCCGTTGTGGAGGAGAGGTGGGGAATTCTGAAGGAGCGTTGGTCATGTTGAGGGGTGGTGCCTCTTGCTATGTTCATGTTCATCAAAATAAGATGCTTCATACATTGTCTTCAGAAGCTACCCTATGTCACCAGATATCTCCTTGCAAGAAAACTTCTCCTCCACACATATGGGGTGGAAGAGGTTGGAGGCTGAGAATGAAAATCCATTTACCCATAAGCTCAAAGGTTGTCTGGTGTGTTGTGATTCTGCAACTGGACACCTCCCTCCCTCCCTCCCTCCCTCCCTCTCCTTTTCTTCTTTCCTTCCTTTCTCTCTCTCTCTCTGTGCTTGGTCCCTCTCATCATCCATACCAAAGATCTGGGATAATTTTCTGAATGATTTTCATAGTAAAAGGAGCAACAGAATAAATGGGGGAGGCAGTGGGGGAGATGACCTGAGATCTGAATCATCCCAATACAAGGTGGCGGTCTAGGGAAAAGAAAAGGCAGAAGTACGGCTAGGTTAGGGGCATCCATTGACTGATGAATTGTACAAGAAGATGTAGTGTGGTGGTGGGGAACCTTTTTCATTTCAAGGGTTTCATTCCCTCTTGGCCAACCTTCCAAGCACTACATCCCAGTGTAAGGTTGTCAGATGTCAAAAGTGGGTGTGGCCAGAGGCAAAAGTGGGTGGAGCTACAGACCTGAGACACACATATACATACTTCTCCATCCAGGCAAGGAGGACATGGAGCTGTTGGAGGTGGGGCTAATAGAGGGGAGCATGGCCTAGGGTGAGAATAAAGGGCCTGGCAGAGAGGTCTGGAGGGCCACATTTGGCCCCTGAGCCTGAGGGTCCCTATGCTTTGACACAGTGCAACATCTCTGGATGGATCTGCAAGGAGGAGAAAACCTAGCCCATTTCAGTCATTTAAGTTCATATCAACTAGAGTTAAAAAGTCATTAGCGAATGTTCTTTTTTTAAAAAATCAGTAACAAAGATGCACAAGCCAGCTTTTTTCAAGTATTTTGAACCAATTTTCAAAGATTGCAGCATCTTCCTGATGTCAGCTTCCTCAAGGCCTATCTACGCATCTGTGTAAATGACATAGCAGAAGACTTGGTGGGACTTTGGGGTTTCAGGTGGTAGGTGCAGAACTTGCATATTTTCTCCCCACTGAGATCTTAGAGATCCATCTAAGGTTGCTTGCCACTCTTATTTGGTTTACTTTTCCACAGTTAAAAAATGCTGCCACCCCAGCTGACAACTCTCCCAAGTTGTCAGCTCATAGATTTGTGCCAATACAAACCTGTGAGGATGGACAGTTATAAAGGTTATCAGCAGACGTGATTAAAGAAGGAGCAGGGGAATGAAATGACTCCATTCCTTAATTTTGGAATGGGTGTTAATGGGTGTGCTGGAATTTCAATCATGTTGAGATCCTTCTCTCCCCCCCCTCCCTTTCTCTTCCTCTAAGTCAGTCCCGAAACCTTATTATTAGATATTCAGTCCATTTTGAGGCAGAGAATATCAAGGACATAGTGCTATTTATTGATGTAAGAGTTTATTGTCTGATTACCAGAGGTCAGTTATTTCTTGACAAATAATCGGAGGGGGGAAAGGTTTTGTTTTCTGCGGCTTTTGTTGAAATGAGGCTGAATTAATGAATAGGTTGAGTATGTTGCAGAGTACGTAGACTGCATCCTCCAACAAATGAGGTTTTTGCTGTTCTCTCCCTCCCCCACGCACACATACACAAACACACAAACATGAAAGCCCCTAAGGGCAAATTAGAACCATGAAGAACAAAACAGTTAAAAACCCACAGAATAATAAAATATTACAATTACCAGAGCACAGCAATAGTAGATATTGAATTGCACAGAACATTCCCAGTGTGGACATTTTTATAGTCATCCTATGGCACCCTCTGGGTGTTGTTGGACTACGACTCCCATAGTTCATGACTTCATTAACTCCCATCATTCATGACTTGTCAAATGTAATGATTTGAGATGCCATCAGGAAATATGAGCATTTTGTCTGTGAGGTTTGATCTGTAATGACCCATTCCCACATTCAGCCTCCCCAAGTGATGAACACTCACATCTGAGCTGTTCTTTATAAAAAGTGAGTTCCGTGAAAATCATGAGGACTCACTTGTGAATAAAAGTCCAAGTGAGTTAGCTTATTTTCTGCCCCTGTGTTGGAAGCCTCCCAAAGTGGCTGGAACAACACAGTCAGATGGGTGGGGTATAAATAGTAAAATGATGATGATGATGATGATGATGATGATGATGATGATGGAATAGGTAAAGGGACCCCTGACCATTAGGTCCAGTTGCAGCCAACTCTGGGGTCTCGCTTTATTGGCCGAGGGAGCCGACGTATAGCTTCTGGGTCATGTGGCCAGCATGACTAAGCCGCTTCTGGCGAACCAGAGCAGCGCACGGAAACACCGTTTACCTTCCCGCCGAAGCAGTACCTATTTATCTACTTGCACTTTGGCGTGCTTTTGAACTGCTAGGTTGGCAGGAGCAGGGACCGAGCAATGGGAGCTCACCCCGTTGCGGGGATTCGAACCACTGACCTTCTGATCGGCAAGCCCTAGGCTCTGTGGTTTAACCTTGATGATGGAATAGGATATCCCTATATTCATCAAAGAAATGTTGGAGGGTATTGCAGGTTCCCCAGCCCTGCCCTAAGCCAGCTTGTTGCTCTCAAGAGGAAACTGCCCATCATCAGTACTGAAATCAGAGCCCCCTGCCAGTCAGATCAGTTTCCATACATGGATTTGGGTGTGGACACCAATTTCTCCTTTCCCCCAGGCAGGAAAAGATCTTCTGGCCCAGCCCTCAAAAAACTAAAGAACGTTAAGCTTGTTAGCGGCGACTTTTCTTTTCACATAATTTTGCTACGTTTTCCTCTTGTGAGAATGTCTCATTGATCCAGCAATAACAACTACAGGGTAGAGTAAGACGAAGCCGGTTTTATCTGGCTTGTGGCGTAAAGCTGCACTTTCATCAGACAAATGTTGTGTGGCAATGCAGGGTGTATGGGGAAAAGGCTGGAATCCTCCACCACACGGCTGCAAAACGCCTCTCGTTTGGATGAGCTGAATTATTTATAGCTCTCGGGAGCCGAGCGGAAGCTCAGACACCTAATTTGAACCATTACTATTTTTACAGAGCAATTTCCATCGCTTTAGTGTCTTTCTTTGTGGATTTGTCATTTGATCTCCTACAAATTTTCTGCTCTCTCTTCTGATATGAAATAGTAAAAACCAGGGGACTGTTGAGGATTTCTTTTGCTGCAGTGACTTAAATTACTCTATTATAAGGTCTAAATGTGGCATCTGTAATATGTAACACTATATATATATATATATATATATATATATATATATATGCACAGTTCATGTTCTATGGTGACCTTGCAAAACTCTTTTGAAATGAGATTGACATTTTGCAGGGAAGTCAGAACTCTGACTTCATTTCCAACTAGCGAAAGCAATACTTTTTTGCTTAACTAAATCTGCAGAATTACACTCTGCTTATGTACATGCGGAAGTAGATACTCATGGTCTGGGATGACCCACCATTGGTTTAGTCTCATTTAAAGCTCACAAAATCCATTGACCTCCAGCAGCTACTGTGTTCAATGTCTGCTTAAGTCATTTGGGCAGTGCATGTAGAAGACTAAGATGCCGCCCAACCACCACTGGTCCACACATGCTGGAGGGTTTGCCCTAAATGCTAGGGGTTCTCATTCCTATAATACTGGCATTATTCTGCCCTTTTACCTTAAAACAAGAAACCCAAGGCAGCTGAAAATCTATAAAACCACACCACAAAAACATGGCTGGCTAAACTGAATCAAACATACAGTACTGCAGTTAAGTAATTTTAAACCCTGCACTTAATGCTATTACAGGGTAGAGGTTCCCTTTATCATACCCTCCAACATTTCTCCGATGATAATAGAGGCGTCCCATTCCATAAGGATAATGTTACTATTTATACCCCACACATCTCACTGGGTTGTCCCAGCCACTCTGGGCAGCTTCCAACATATATAAAAACATAATAAAACAGTAAGTATTGGGGGGGAAACCTTCCTTATACAGGATTGCCTTCCAGTGACTTGGGGGACAGATAACTCCCTACCCTCCAGCATTTTTCCAATGAAAAGAGGGATATCCTAAGGAAAAGCAGGGATCAAATCAGAAACCGGGACGGCTTCTCTAAATCACGGATGCCCCTGGAAAAAGGGGACACTTGGAGGGTCTGCTTTAGCTATTAATCTGCATTGCTTCACATTTCAAACTGTAGTAAGTCAGCCCATTTGGGGGTCCTCTTGCTCATTCTGCTGAGTGGGACCCCGAACCTCTGCCTCAAAGTCCTGTCCTGACTTTCCTAACATAAAACCAATGGACTTCTATGGACTTTAAAAAAATACCCCCCTGGATTCCCTTCTTCACTAGTCCTTGAGTTCTTCACTAGTACCTTGAGAGCCAGTGTGGTGTAGTGGTTAGGAGCGGTAGACTCATAATCTGGTGAACAGGGTTCGCTTCCCCGCTCCTCCACATGCAGCTGCTGGGTGACCTTGGGCTAGTCACACTTCGCTGAAGTCTCTCAGCCCCACTCACCTCACAGTGCTTGTTGTGGGGGAGGAAGGGAAAGGAGATTGTTAGCCGCTTTGAGACTCCTTCGGGTAGTGATAAAGTGGGATATCAAATCCAAACACACTTCTTCTTCTAGTCTCTCTGATAACCTTAAAAGTCGACAGTAGAGGCAAGTCCATTAGCATGAATAAGGCACTGCCTCACCAACCTTACTTGTCCCCCCTCCCCCAACCTGCCCAACTTCTTCCTACCAGTGCAGAGAACTGCACTGCCAGCTTTCTCCTCCATAGTCCCAGTGTTGCCCTTGCAGAACTCAGGAGGACAGGGTGGAAATGACAGCCAATTGTCTCTGCTCATCTTCAGCTCTGACTCCACCAACTGTCGGACTCTCTGCATTCCTCCCTACCATAGGCACCACCTACCGCTGAAAGCAAATGATGCCAGAATGGATCATAAGGAAAACTGCCCAGCTGTGGGTTATGGAATTTCCCAGTAAACATCAACTCCCCAGTCCCAGTGGCCTACGCTGTCCAGTTGGGCATGTCTCACACCTGCCTTTGGGGTCCTCGGCTTTGCCTCTGTGTTGCTTCTGTCCTTCCTGCACCTCCTGAAAAGATCAAGAAGTAAGATACCTGGGTTTCAAAGCCATGTTGGCAAAGCATATTCCATTATTCCGGCTCCTGCCCCATTGGGAGTATTGCACTACGGCGCCACCTAGTATTGTGCCCTGCTAAGGGCAGTTCCAGGCGGACATTCCTTGTAATGGGAGTATCACAGAATGGCAAAATGAAACCCAGCAAACTCCTGTTGTGTATATATGTGAATATATATATATATATATATATATATATATATATATATATGTAAATTTGTGAAGAATACCAGTGGATTTGTGGCTACCTAGACTAGTCTGAAACTGAGGCACAGAATGCCTGACAAAAACAAAACAAAACCAAACAACCTGTCAGAATATTTTTTTAATTGTGGTGAACTTCTGATTCCCCAAAATGGATCCTTTGCTGGGTAGCGCTGGAAGTATTTCTGTCCTGGAGTCAAAATGGCTGCCCCATCTGCCTTAATTCAGGATGCAAGGCAGGATGTTTTCTTAGATGATTTGGCTTTTAATTGGATGGAATATTGCAGCACTTCAGACCAGGGGGTTGGGTGGGCTGAGCGTCTTCTACTGAAGACAACAGTTTCTCTGGACTAAGTATTATGGACAGATGATTTATCATTTGGAAATTGCCTGCATTATTGTACGTGCATTGATGGTTTTCACCAAGCCCGCTTGCC